AAATAAAATTATACGGGGATAGATATGAAATTTTTTTAAAATCCATGTACCTATCCAAACTCTTCATATTCCCATCCTTAATTCTAATCCAATTTTTTAAATAATAACATAAGCCTCTTTAGACTTTAAATTAATTAATCAAACCTTTTAAAATCATGGCAACAAACGCATAAGGTTAGAATTATAATGTAGAATGTTAATTTTCAATTTTTTAGAGTTTGAATTGGTTGAATATCACAATTCTTATAATTGAGTTGAACAAAGAGTTAACATGTAAAATTATAATTTTAAATTGAATTCTAATTTGATCTTAACACTTTTTAGTTAAAGACAATTAAGAGTCAAATTATTTTATAAACCATCTAATATACTCCTAATTACAAGTTCACTTAATTTAGAGAATTTTTCATTAACCCTTCATTCTCTTCTCTTTACTTACCATTTAAATCATTTTCTTTTTTTTTTTCAACTTTCAAACAAATTTTTAATTCCAAACTCCAACTCTACATGCACTCTGCCGCTCCAGCAGTACTAAACATTGTCTCAATTAGTTGTTGTTTTGGCATCTAAAATTGAAGACCAAAAGGTTTTATATTCCCTTCATCATTTCATTCTATAAAACTTTTCTTACATCAACATTGCATGTGAAATCTTCTGTTCAATCTTATGACAAGTTCAAGCAATGCATGCCTTAATATGAAGAGAGACAATTACGTGACGAAATAAACATTAATTGCAAAAAGATAGAAAACCAATCTCATGGCAAAATAACAATATTAAAACCCTTCTTTTTCCTTTTCTTGTCCTTCTCGTGCCACAATAATGTCTCAAAACAAAGATCAAAGAATGTAGGAGGCGATGCATGTATCTACATGCATGCACGTGTTTGTGGTACAATAAAAAGTACCACATGCTTATAAATGAGGTTTGCTGATCCACAAGAACGTGCACCCTCCATCTCCATGGATGCACACATAAAAACCATCGACCAGAATCTGTAGACCCACAACTTGTTTTATATATATTTGTTGTATATATGCTGAATTCACCTCCATCATCACCCTCTATGAACCACATTTATTTATTTATTTTCCTTATTAATTAGATTCTTGTAATCCAATTGGAGCTACAAGGAAAGGGAAAATGTGTATTGGGAGTTAAATATAGGAAAAAAACAAGGAAAAGTTGGATTCAACCCTTCCCATGAGGCCCACCAATTAATTGTATTATCTTCCCCAGCAGAACAAGACAAAACCATATAATATATATAATACATATGAATTAGAGACCATTAGACAAAAAATTTACTCATGGGGTTCCCTTTGTTTTCAATATGTTTTTGGTAGGGGAAGCAACTTGATGTGATCTAGATCTATGTATGGGTTTCCCAGAGCAGAAAGAATCAAAGAGGGCTCTTAATGTACCATAGCCAGCTAATTTTATCTTCCAATAATTATGCAACCTTTGAAAAGAGGGTGTTTGGTTTGTGTTGGCACGTCACCATTGTCTTTTCTATTCTATATAATTTGTTTGCATGTGATGTTTATTTTCTTTAATGTATACAAACCTATAGATTTTGGCCAAAAAGTTGTTCTTTGAAATTTAGATGCTAAAAATGAGGGCAGTTTTATTTATAAAATAGATTAATACAACCCTCACGTTGGCTTTTTTTAATTAAGTTACATACCTTATTATATTAATCTTTTTAAATTTTTATTTTAAAGTGATCCTTCAAAACTATAAAATAATTGCCAAGTTTATTTATTTTTATCACTATTTCAGTCTCCTTGAAGACAAATTTGGAGATATTATAAATATCTGAGGAATTAATAAAGATTTACTTTATATAATATGTTCTTGAACATCGCATATTTTTTAGCATAGGGTGTCTCATCTGCATAACACATGCAGAACAGACCACAGACATAAAACATTTAATAATAGAGTTATACATTAATTTCATCTGAATTCAATCCTCTTAATCTAATATTTTTCTGTGTAGTTTTTTATGGCTACAAACACAGATTATTGTTCCTTAGCAAGGAATGGCTAAGAGCGTTTAAGACCATACACAAAATTTATACTAAGGTTTGTCAAGAAATGCAGAATATATATTTTTAAAATGAAAAATTTAACTATTAAATTTGTATAATTAAGTTTAAAAGTTAAATAGTTTTAATTGAAGAAAACTAAATTATTTAATCTTCATTAAAACATAATTGATTTTAAGTAAAACTTTTAATTTTAATAGCTTATTTTCATTGAAATTACAGAAACAAGAATAATTAATTTCTATGAATTATGTATATATTTTAAGAAAATTCACCTTTCCTCTTATAAAATTTAATCATTCAAGTGACATTTTAAATTTATCAATAAAGTATTTATCGTGAGTTATATTGAGCATATAGTATTTTTATTATATGTGTTTTCTTTTTCTCTCTTTCATAGTATTTATTTTATTAGTATTTTGTTTTATTGTATTTTTTTCTCATTATTATTTTAAAATAGTACAAAGTTTTTATATAAATAAGATTTCTTTTTCATGGTTGAGAGTAATTTTAATAAAGAAAATAAAATTTTCCTTTGAATATATTTCCTTAGTAGAGGCAAACAAAAGAAGGCCGGTAGTGGAGCTCACAATTTTTTTTACTCAATTAGGTGGGGGCAAGGGTTGATTTTATTTTTTAGTTTATTTTTATAAATAATCATTTAAAAATAAAGTATCAATAAAAATTGTTATATTAAAAAATAATCAAGAGAAAAAATTGTATAAATAATTAATTTTCTACTAATTTAATTTTGTATATAATTCATAAAATATTTTCTATAAAAAGTTATTTAAGTTGAAAATATCATGACTTAATGAAATTAGGCTGTTTATCAATTCCAAAACTTGATTTAAGGATAATAAGCATACCTTGCTTAAACTTAATTAAGAATGTTTCATTGTTAATCTACATATAATCCGTACAACCAAACCATTGTAGATGGCACGGCTTAGTGTGCTCGCCTAATACGATTGTTTTGCCAGTGTCTCATCTAACATTAACATCCACTGTTTTATTTGTCTTCTTAAATTACAATAATAACTAATTAATAATATATGCAAATTAATTATTTAATTAATATTGCTGTTCTTGACAATGGGACATTACAGCTATTACAGAAGAATATTTTGGGACTGTTATACTGAAACAGATCCTGCTTTGTCAGTTAAATATTCATCTTGCCTTTAGATTATTGTTTAATTATGCTATTTTTGGAGCAATTTGAATAAATAAAACCCATTGTTGAATACTTTTAAAGCTAATTTGATAAATCATTTTAATTAATTTTGATCAATTTTATTGATGACCTTAACTCTTATATTTCACTAGTTATTATTTAAGTTATCAAAATTGGATTCGATAAAAATTGTTGAGTCAACCAAAACTCACTCACCAGTTGAACTTTAATATGAAGGCTTTAAATTATCTATTTGCCTACTAAGAAATCCAAATTGATAACTAATAACATGTTTTCTAAAATAAAAATTTGGATTAACACTCAAAATATTAACATAATTAAGCTGGAGATTTATTTAATGACAATTTTAAATTGATACTGTATGATTATACATAAATAGTCAATATCAAAAGTTAATTAATAGTTACATAATCACATAAAATAAATTATAATGTGTGTGTGTATATATATATATATATATATATATATATATATATATATATTTATTTATTTATTATATATTTATTGTTATAAGTCTTACAATAAATAAACATTTATACTTAAGATATCTCTGTGCGTAAAACTAATGGGAAGGGGATGATTTAAACAATTTTTAACACTTAATAATATTTTATGTAATATAAATATTAAAATAATCATAATTTTCTCTCTCTTTATCTTGACCCATTTAAAAAATATATTTTGTTTTATTTTTATTCTATTTTTCTCTCTCTTCATTTTCCCTATTTCATCGATTATCTAAATACTACTTTTTGATAAATAAATTTTAGTTTCTAAATTTAATTTTAATTCTTAAAAATTCAATAATTTTGTTCTCAACAAATTTTAATAGTTTTAAAAATTGGGGCAATATGACATGAAATGTATAGCAAATAATGTCATCAGTAAATAAAGATAAGAATAATTTTTAAAAATGATCATTTATAAAAGAAAATAAAACAAAAAATTAGAAATTTCAAAAAAGAAAATTGTCATGTTTACATGAATCAAAAACATATTTTATTTTAAAATTTTCTAGAGTGTATTTAACAGTGCATAATAAGAATTCCTATAATATATTTTTATTAAAAACAATAAGATACCACATAATTCAATATATTAATAATATTAAATAGTTTAATGTTTGATAAAAAAATATTATTTATTAATTTCTTATTATGTGTGAGCAGACACACGCTTAATTATATTAATCACATGAAAGGCTAACTTGGTAGTGAATGCTTATTTTATTTGCATGATGCAATATCCAGGAAGCTCACCTATGTTCCATTTGGTCAACATAAAAGATTGATGAAATCCATTAGTATATATACCTACTTTGTTCCTGTACTGCATATTTCCACGCGAAAAGAATCAAACCCTGTGCTTGTCCTTTAATTTGTTCCATCTTTCCTTTTTTAAATCAAATTTTGTGTTTTCTTCACAGTTAAGTCCTCTGCAATTTGAAAATTAGCAAATAGGGGGAAATTTTTCTAGCAGTATTTATCTCTAAATGAATAATGAACATTTTTAATAAACCTACCAAAACTGTGCATGAAATTAATTATGTTGGTCTTTTGGTATTATATTAATATCCATTATCACATATTTTTCATATTTCTAAAATATGACATAATATTTCATTGACCCATGACCCACCACATGTCCATGTTTGCTCCTATATGTACCTATATATATAACCTCTAAAACCATATCCAAGGCACCCACCCTCTTCCATCCAAGAAAAGCCTTAGAGAACATAAATCAAAGCCATGGCTTGCTGGTCAGCAGAAAATGCCACAAAGGCCTATCTCAACACATTGAAAATGGTGAGTATTAATTTTCTTGATGTTTCATACCCCTTAATCAAAAGAAATTTCTAGCTAGATTTTTTCAATATTCTCTTGTTACAATTTTTCCCCAACAATTTCTCTGGTCTGATTTTGGGTTATTTTCATCAGGATCAAAAGGCCAAAGAGCCTGCAGTTGCTGAGTTTATATCAGCACTAGCTGCTGGTAACAATGCACAACTAATGGTTGTGGCATGCTCTGGTGCAGCAGATTCTACCACACTGGCATTAGTCACTGCAGCACATCAAACTGGTGGCCATGTTGTTTGCATTGTTCCTGGCCAAGAAGAGCTTAATGCCTCCAAAATTGTCCTTGGAATAGCTACTAGTCAAGTTCAATTCATGGTTGGAGAAGCACAAGAACTAATGCTATTAAACCAAGCAGATTTTGTGCTTATTGATTGTAAACTTATGAACCATGCAGAGATTCTTAAAGCAGTCCAAGGTGGTGATGGCAAGCCAAATGGCACATTGGTTGTTGGTTACAATGCATTTAGTTGCAAAGGGTCTTGGTGGTCTTGTGGATCAAAAACTCAATTGTTGCCTATAGGAAAAGGGTTGCTAGTGACCAGATTTGGAGCAACTATCACTAGTCCAAAATATGGATCTAGAATGAGTAAGACAAGAAGTAGCCGTTGGGTTGTCAAGGTGGATAAATGCACTGGTGAAGAACATGTGTATAGGATCAGAGTTCCACAAGGAAAAGTGATTCAAGCTTAATCATGTGGTTGATTTGGATGCAAACATGATTAGCACTATGAAGCGACCATGCTACTTCCATTTATTTCTTAGGGAAAATGGAGTATTAAGTTTTGCTATTAAGCACCTAGGAGAAGTTATAGTCCTATTTCAAATGTATATAGCAAATTATATATATATATATTGCATAAGTTGGTTGGCAAAATTTTGTTAATGTTTTGCATTTGTACTTCTAATGAAGAGAAATCAAATGCAACCATTTTAGACTCTTGCTAAAACTTTCCTGTCCCTGTCCATGAAAGGACCACAACAAAACAAAAGATACCTTCGCCAGGAGTTTCTCCAAGACATTCTATGTCATAAAGGTACATGTAAATCTTAAAATTGAACCCTTTTTTCTTATTGAATTTGGTATAAAATACCAAAAAGAAATTAGAAAGACAAAAATATTTTCTAGTTACCACTTGAGTTAGGCTTAATTTTGAAGCATAAAGTTCTATAATTACAACATAATTTATTATTTTCAAACAATTCGTTACACAATTTTTTTTTTTATGATCTGATAAAATTTGATTGATGTGTGTGTGAGAGAGATCAGAGGGAAAAGAAAAGAGTAAGGTGATTACTTCTTTTTTTTCCATAAATGTAAGGTAAAAAAATGTGAAATAATTGGTTTATGTTTGATTTGTAATCTTTTTAAAGACAAGCACTAACAACCAAGATTAAGAATGTTATGAATCCTGAATTGGCAGACTAAGGATTCAAGCTTTCACGTTTGCTGCTGAATGAGGAATCAACTTTTGAAGAAGGAAAAATATTCTCTTGCCATTCAACATGCCTTTGGATCTCATGCTAGACATACTCTAGGTTGTTCAATTAAGTCATCTAGATTGGCTTTGTTTGCTTCTTATATATCTTATTATCTTGCCCAACCAAATTTTGGTTAATTGATCTTCAAGATCAACATTTTGGTTTACAAGATAAAAACAGAAGTTTTACCCTCTCAAATTCAGAACTAAATTTTATAAAGTATGAATTTGGCATTTTTATTTAACAACATTTATATTTTTATATTTCACTTTTTTATATTTATTTTCACCCTTCTTTCTTTTTAATTCTCTCCATCATATCATCAATTACATCTCTTTTTTTTCTCTTATCTTCATATTTCTATTTTCCTTTCGCTCAAACTACACTCCAAACATGGATATGAAAGTGTTGTTTTTTATTTACTATAAGCCTTATTTTAAGGCTAATAAGTTTAACTTTTTTCAAAAGTATGACTTGATTTGAAAGTTTTTTTTAATCCTACTTTATAATAGCATGTGTTATTAAACAAAGTTATAAACATACCTTTGAATAAGATGTATCTATACTTGTATGTAAGCTAATAAGTTTAAGTCTTTTTTTAAGTAATAAATTGAAGTCCTTAAACAGATTACAATGTATATAATTTCAAAATACTATAATAAAATTTAATACAACAATAATAATATCATTATACTATTTGTAGTTATTTAAATAAGTAAGCTCAAAGTCTAATATTTTAATTAAATAAACTTTTTAAAACATTAGTATGATTTATTTGACAAATAAATCTAATATGAAACAATTGTGGATGATCAACCTTATTAAAAATGACAAAATTTGTGGATCAATTGAATTTCACTCTATTATTTTGTCAAAGGCACAAAACATCCATGTGAAAGAGACACCAAAGACAGTCCCTAGCAGCAAGTACTTATAACAGGCTGTGCAAACAACAATAGAGTACTTCAAGCTCATTGTTTTGCGTTACTCTAATTATAATAATTAAGGCCACCTTATAAGGTAGCTACCTGCCCTAACGTGTGGCTTGTGAATTTGTCTCTGCAATTACAGCAACAACTGATACAAAGCTGGTTGCATGGATAGGTGTACTATGTTACTATTGCATTCCTAAACAATTTAATCATTTTAATGTTATTAGTACATTAAATTTAGTGATATCCTATGATTTTTAACAAAATCTTGCTATACATGGAGCTTTATTATGTGTCTATAAACATGCTTTAAAAATTAACCACCTAGGAGTTAATTCTATTTTGAATATAGGTAGCAAATTATAGACATACATTACATAAATTGGATTGAAAAAAACTTTGTTAATGTTTTGCAAATGCTCCATTGAAGAGATGTCATAATACAACCACTTTTGATCAAACTTTGGTGACCCTTTTTTCTTTGTAACACGTGAAAGGGCCACAACAAAATATACTTTTGCCGGTCATGTGTTTTTAAGGACATTGAAATTTTGGAAGTTATAAAAGTACATGTAATGTAAATTTTTGGAAAGAACTCTCACATTTTCTTATTGGATGGACAGGGAAAATGTAGGATGGTATAAAACAATTTTAGTGGAAACATACAAAACTATTTTTTTTTTTTCTTCCAGCAATTCTTGTCTCCCATTTATAACATTTTACATTAAAATTCTTTGCACCAAATAGTATTGTTTTTATAGAATAAAAAAGCATAAAAAATTAAAAAGACAAAAAAATAGCTTTACTAATTACAACTTATTGAGTTAGACTTTAATAGCATAAAGCAATATATATATATATATATATATATATATATATATATATATATATTCACTGTCAATGAGCAATTTCAATATTTAGATGAAGTTATTAAACAAAAATGTTTAATTCACGTAATTTTATTTTATTTTTTTTTCTATTTTTTAAACCTGCATCACACGTGAAAAAATTTGAGTAGAGAAAAGGAGAAAAAAAAAAAGTAAAATCAATGGATTGTTTAGTAAAGATAAAATTAGCATTTTAATCTTTTAAATTTAAAATTGGCTAAGCTAAAATTAATGGATTGTTAAATGAAAAATTTGCTTAAACTAAAATTATGAAAATTTTAAAAATTTTATCTATTTTTTTCTAAATTACAAAAAATTTAAAGAACTTTTATACAAAATCATGTGGTTATAATTTGTGGTCATACCACATGACCATAAAAGTCTAAAGGTTTCAAATTATGTAATATTGCAATTATTTTTTAATCAATTTCTCAAAGTCATTATTCTTATAATTCTTATCATTATTTTAACAATTTAACTCAATTACAAATAGTTACAATTTATCAATATTTAGCATACTAAATAATACATTTAAAATATTTGATAAGATTATATATGTAAAAAAAAATTATAATTAAGTAGTCATTAATGAAAAACAAATTTTTTTCAAATTTTAAGTTTAAAAAAGAAGATGATAAAATTTGAAAATTTTTCACAATTTTGACTTAAATAAATTTTTTTTATTTAAGAAAAAATTAATTTTTTACTAAATTCGTTTAAGTAAAAAAAATTTTACTTCCACAAATTTAAATTATAGGTTATAGTTTCTGCCAAAATTATAGAAGCTTTGAATTCCATTTTTAAATATCCACCCTTTTACAATTTTTTCTTTTGATAATTATTGAAATTTTGATTTTAACGATTAAAATGAGAGGTTAAAATCGAACATTAATAATTATTTTCATCAGACTTCAACTCAAATATTTTCTTAATAATTGTTAACATTGATTTAATAATTTTTTAAACACGGCATATAACCGACATATCAATATTTTATGTGATTATGTTGGCTAAAATAAAATATGAAAATAAATCATTATGACTCATTTTTGTTATTGTCCTTTAAATATTAAATTTCTACATTTTGCTTATAATTAATCAATCTCTTCATGTAATAATTGATGTTCAACTCTCTCTCTCTCTCTCTTATTTTATGACCTATACATAAAGAATGAAATAAATTAATTTCACCTAATTTATTATTTCACACAAAACTTGGTTTCGAAGGAATCAAGGGTGAGTAATTTGAATAGTTATAAGATAAGAAAAATAAAGGATTAATTAAGTTAAATTTTAAAAAAGATAAAATTAGAATCAACTTTACATTCAGAGGACAAATATATTAGGTTTATTTTATCACTCTACTAAATCTTTTTTTTTATTTAATTAAAATTTTAGTTAATCAATTCTATAAGACTAAAATTTTATTTAGAAGTTTGAGGGGAAAAAAAGAAAAAAAAATTAAAGGAAGGGCGGAAGAATAAGAATTAAACTCTTTCCTTTTCTTCCCTTTTCTTCTCCTTAACATAAAATTTAAACAAAGGCTAAAATATCTAGAAAAACAGTATGTATTTTTTTAAATGAAAATACAAGTTTCACTTAAAATCAGATTTATTGTTAATGCTTTATTAGTATAATTTTTTTATTTTCAGTTTTAATTTAGACTCAATTTGATTTGATTAAAAAAATCATTATTTCAGTGAAAAATTAGCTCCTTGCATGTAACAACAGACTTTAGTCTTAATTAAATATAATTTATTTTTATCAATAGCATACTCAACAAATGTTTTTACAATTTTTGTCTAATTTTATCATAATCTGAAAAAATTAATCAATATCATTAAGCTATCTATTACCCAAGTAACTTAATATTAAGACTTAAGACACACAGATATTTCAGATAATTTTCTTGTTACCTGAACTTTTAAAATAAGTTTACATTTTTTTAACATTTTTTAGTTAAACTACAGGTATCCTTTACTAAAGGTAATCTTAAAATGTTAACAACCCCTTCCACTAGTTAATACACATGCTCCATGATGAAAAAAAATATTAATTTGATTATTCACTAAATAAAAAATCCTTGAAAATATAATAAATATGTCATAATTTTTTTAATCACTTAAAAAATTAAAATAACTTATTTGATAAACTAATCTAACTCACCACAAGCTGACTTACTTAATTTATAAGTTAAGTCAGCCAAATAGAATATAATCTAAGATAGTTGTGAAATAGTTTTTGTCAACCAATGTGATCCATAACTTATAATGAGGCTAAGTTAACACATGGAAAAGGACCCATTTGGACAATTATACTGGGAGCAAAGGTACATCTAACAGGCTGTACATACAACAATTAAGTACTTTTAAGCTCAATATTTGCACAATTATAGTTATAATCAAACCATTGCTACATGCTCTAACGTGGGACGTGTGGTTTTTGTCTCTTCAATTAGAACAACAACCTTGATGTGATGCTGCTTGCATGGATGGATCATATATATGTACTATCAGGCCAGAGTGTAATTAATTAATTAATTATAATTATTCTCAAACAATTTAATTAGCACTCAACTGTTCATACTACCTAATTGCTTGTTTAGTGAATCAACATGTGATCCTAAGAAGTCTTGTCCTTTCAAATTACACCAATTGCTTAATATATTATTGTGCCATGTAAATTAAATTACAAGTTAACAGTTGTTAATCCACATTGTCACGAGACTAACAACGGTTAGTTCATTTGATGATTTATTTATAGTAATCCTCTTTGTTAAGAAATACTTGTCATACAATAAATATTAACCTAATCATAATACTTTCATTTGAGAAGATAATGTTAACAATTAATAATATTTTTGAAACACAAAATAAGGGTATTTCCACCTTATATGAGTATGATATTTTGTTGTTTGAAGTGTATCTAATCTCATGTGAGAGGAGTATTTTCATGTTCTGCTTTTTCATTAGTAAATAACAATTTGTTTCTGAAAAATAAATAATAATGAAGTGGATAAATGTTAACAGGGATAATATTTTTTTCTTGGAATATCAGTTCCTTTGCAAGGTGACAGAATAATTTTCTAAGATATACAATGAACCACTAAAATAGAGATCTTTCAACAATATCTTTTTCATAATCCAAGGTCATGAACTTCAGAAATATGAATCCAAGAAATATTAATTTTTTCTTTTAAAAAATATATATCCTTATTTATTGATATTTCACCTAAATGTTTGATTGATTCACAAATAAAGCTAACTCTTTTATAAGAATATTTTAGAAAAAGAAAATGTTTATAATTTTCTTAAGATGTATATGTATTGTCTTAAATTACACATAATTTGAAACAAAAGGGGTACTTAAGATTGACAAAATTGGTGGTTTTTCATCAACTGAAAAAATGATAAAGAAAATTGATTATAAAAGGTTTATAAGTAATTTTATAAAAAGATAAAACCATCATAATATTAAGAAATTTTGTATTAACTTAAAAAAAATATATGATCTTAAACTTTATTTGAACCTCAAATAAATATTGGAGGAAGGCTCTACCTAAACTTGGGACAGGGACAACATGATGGGGTGAACTTCACCAATTTTTGGATCATTGGGAGAAAAATTAGTAGGCCTGTTGGATGGTTTGATAACAGAGTAGGGTTGATGGACCCAAGCCTATGAGCCCAATGACCCAATATGTTTCCCTCCCCAGTCCATAACTGCACTGTTTCGTTAGTGTATGTAAAAACAAAATTAAATGCTGATTCTAATCTTTTCTGCATTATTATAGTGACATTAAATTTTAAGAATTTAATTTAAATATATGAATTATACAATCATTTAATTAAAATTTTATATAATTAAAAATTATTAATTTTTGTAATAATTACTTTTAAAGTCAAATGTAAGAAAATTTTAAACTCAAATAATGTAAATGCGTATATTAATAACCATATGTTGTCTTTAAAGTTTTTTTTAGAAGTTAAAGAATTTAGTTTATTGTAATTAGTTGATTAAAACTCAGTACATAAAATTTTATTTTCTAAGAAAATTAAATTTTGTCGTAACTCGTTGTTTTATGGAAAACGTTATACAGTAGGAATGCAACATTTTAATAAGTTTTTTTTGACCTGACATATGATTTGTCCTAAACAGTGACATGAAGAGACTTGTCTATAAACTTTTAAGACAAATTATGTGCACTATATTTATTAAAAGCTAACATGTCATCACCTTTCATGTTATATAATTACATGTGACAAGAATTTGTATTATTTAATATAAAACAACAATATGTTAATAAAATTTTATCTCAAAATTTTTTTCACATCACTTTAATCTTCTCTAGTTCACGTATTCCACAAAAAATTCAAGATGATTTTTAAATGAGAATGATATATAGTATTATATTATATATTAAGATATGTTTTTGTGAAGTAAAAAAACGTGCATATCAAATGAAATTTTATTAAAGTTTAAGAATATGAATGTAATTTATTAAAGAGGAAGAAGAATAATTATGTTTTTCAAAATTTAAAATATATTTGATTTTTAAATAAAATTTTATGAAAGAAATGATATTATATTTAGAATCACGTTTTATTAATTAGTTATGCAATGAGATTTATCATAATTCTTGTAATTGTAACATCCACAGCATATAATTTTTACTCCAATCCAAAATAAATTAATATCTTAATACGAATTTTGATACAATAAATCAATGTTTTGCTATTTCAATTGCTGATTGAATTTTTTAAACATCTCATACTATATGAATAGAACATTTGAAGAAGTCCTCATACACTTGGCATATATCGCGGATAAATTTTTTTGAACAAGTTCTACATACTAAATTAAGTAGTAATTAACACCATCACATTAAATGTTAATAGTTATACGACATGAGAAATTCATGTCACTACTTAATCTAAAATAATAATTTCTAATTGTTTTAATCACAAATGATTAAAGAAAGATTTCAAGAAGCTTGTAGGAGAAACTTATTTAACCTTTAAAATAATTTCTGATTTTAATATAAATATGAAAAAAATAATTTTCTTAAACTTAATTTAATAAATTTATAGCATAAATCTTCATTTAAGAAAAATTAATAAAATAAGCATTTAATTAAACTATTTACTTATCTAAGTAGACTTGTTTTTTTAAAAGAAATAGTTATTTATTTTTAAACTTTGTGAAAAAAATGACAAAAAAAAGGTTATTTTCTAAATATAAACTAAAGAAAAGATGTTATAATTGAAGCCGCCCATGGAAGTCCACATCAACCTCAATTGCTTTTTATATCACACTGGAAAAAAGAAAAGGCTAAGCCATAGCATTAAAAAGCAACACAACAAAGCAAAGTCCCAAACTTGTCATCCTGAATCAGCCTTCCACAACCTAAACCTAAAGGGAAAGGGGGACTGTACAAAGTGTAAACATGTAGGTGCAAAAAGCATTGTAGCACTAAGAATGTGATTCATTGCATTCATGAGATGCATTTCAATTGGAGAGATGCTTTTTCACTTTTGGTTCATGCTTTGATGGAAAAGGGTAATTAAAATAGAAAACGTTATTTGTACAAGAACTAATGTCAAAAGAAAAAAAAAAGACACATGATTAGAGGAGATAAATGGCTGAAATATAAAAATAAAAGCAAAGATCCTTTCCCTAGGCTACAACCTAATGTCCAAGACATTCATTCACATGAAAAGCTAATCCTTAGTTAAGGACACATAAAAATGTCAAAGCCTTACAAAGTCATCACCACCACCATGACCATGAGCCAGTGGCCAAACAATAGAAAACTGGTGATGATGATGGTTAAAGTAATTAAAACTCAAATCAGAGACAGCTACTACAATTACCTAGTTCTTGAACTATGGCTTCCATGCTTGGTCTCTCAAAAGGAGACTCATGGGAACAAAGTAAAGCCATTCTTGCTAGTTTAGCCGCTTCATGTTCAAAGAATCTGCCATGCAGATTAGGGTCAATGAAGTCTTGGAATCTGAAGGACTCTGCAGCAACACGCATTGCACTTGAGATCTTCTGCTTCCCTGTGAGGATCTGGAAAACAAGCACCCCGAATACATAAACATCACTTTTCTCAGTGAAGCGGCCGGTGGTGGTGTATTCTGGAGCCAGGTAACCCTTTGCTGCACTACCCTTTAGTGCAGAGAAGACGATATCATTGGTGAGAAGCTTGTACAGGCCGGAATCTGAAAGCAACGGGTTGTGCCGCTGATCAATGAGCACTTTCTCAGCTGAGATGTTTTGATGAACAAGAGCCGGTTTGTTTGCTTTGTATGCATGTAAATAAGCTATACCTGATTAAGAAAACAAGGTCTCAGTGTACACATCAGAAACCATAAGAATGTAGCACTTGATTCACTTATGATTCAATTAAGTAATAACATGATTACTTCACCAAAATGAATATGAAGTCAAATTAATCAAAACAATGTCAAAGGAAGTTTAATCTACAATGAAGCTTTGTTACCAAGAGTAATAATAAAGAGAAACCTACTATGTATTTATACATAATGTAATTATACTATGCAATGTTGTCGGCATCTCTTGAAGCATCTATGAGCAGTAGTGAGAAAGGAGATGCTCTCAGTTATTTAACAACCACAGCATTTTCTTAGCATGCTGTTTGTTTATACTTTATATCTTAGAATGTGTGAAAAAAGTACTTAAAGTATCAAATTATTTGAAAGTAAATTCTTTTAGTGAAGGACAAGTTAGAAGTATAACCTTTGGCAATTCCTTTCACAATAGAAACTCTAGTTGACCATTCAAGGACTTCTCCATCACCTTCCTTCACATCAAGGTAGCGCGTCAGATTTCCATTGGAAACAAAATCATAAATCAGGAAGCATTCACCTCGTCCCCTTGAACAACAAAATCCTCTCAACCTCACTAAATTCTCATTCCTCAGCGAAGTCAAAATGTTCAATCCCTTCAAAAACTCAGCTTCATCTGATTTGCAACTAGTTTTACTTATGCTCTTAACCGCAACCATGGACCCGTCTCTTAAAACTCCTTTGTAAGTTGCACTGAAGTTGCTCTTACCCAACAAGTTCAACTCAGAGAAATACTGAGTAGCAGATTCCACTTCTTCCAAATTGAACCTGAAACTCTGGAACATATCTTGCTTATCTCCATTGAAATTCCTGCTATCAGCCAAAGGGTCCCATCCGTTAGAATACTCAAGGCTGACCAAAGGAGATCCATTTTTCCTGTATATACCCTTGGCTTGATCTGTACTTCGACGCCCTTCGGAGATGTCAAACGCACTTCCAAGCCTTTGTTTCCGTCGACGATACATTGTGAAAGTCAGAATACCAACTGCTGATAATGCAAGTGTAACAAGAACAATGCCAACTTTAATAGATGTTGCTTGTTTTGATTTCGATGAATTTCGGCACTGAGTTGTATTGCAAGGCAACTTTACATTTGCAGTTTCTGGGATATCCCTAGACAGACCACCAACTCCTGCTCCATAAGGTTCAGGTCTGGTGAGATTGACATGATCAGAAGCTGTGCACGCTTTCAAGGACGAAAACCCAACTCCACATAACCCCAAGTTGTGTTCAAACACAAATCCATCCTCTAGTCTCTTTAAAGCTTCATTAAACCAACCAAAGTAAACAAACTTATATTAGACTGATATGATATTTAATGGCAAAAACCATATTAGAAAGGAAATGGATAAAAGCAATAAAATAAAATAAAAGCAATAGCATCATTATTACCTGGAGGCACATTCCCAGAGAGAGTGTTGTTATGAACATCCAGAACTTGCAGTGTAGGAACATCAGCTAATCTAGAGGGAATGGAACCAAAGAGATAATTTGAGCTCAAATCTAGCCTCATCAAAGTTCCCAAACCACCTAAACTAGCAGGGATAGCTCCAGATAATTGGTTTGACTGAAGAGCAAGAACACTAAGCTTTTTCAAACCGCCAAGCTGCGTAGGTATGCTTCCTGTTAGCTGATTATAACAAAGCTGCAAAACTGCATAGCAAGTAAAGAAACCAGATAAGCACATTCCCAAATTCAAACTATCAATCAAACATTATTTCTATCCAAGGCTAAAGAAACAGTAGAAAAAATCAAATTTGGGTTGAAACTTCAATTTTGAGGAACAACTACAAGTGTAGAGAGAAGGTCAATAAAAATCATTGATGTTAAAAGTGGTTGCTGTCTATAATAATATGTTTATATAAATTTGAATCTTCTTCTATACAGAAAATAAATAAATAAATATTTAAAAAAAAAATGTTCAGAAACTGGGAGAAGAGGATAATAACGGTTACCCCTTCACTCCCGAGTTGCAATAAAGCGCCTTCGAAAGGAGATTTCCCTTAAAAACATGTTCAAAACCAAAGGGTGCAAAGGTTTTCAAAGCTAAACATGTTATTTTAGTTATTTTTCCTTCATGTGAATTAACTATTTTGGTATATTTCAGTGCAAGAGACCCAACCATTAGAGGAAAAAAAACAGGACTAAAAGTCAATCACAGGAAATGAGACTTAATGGTACCCCAAATAAACAAAACCAAGTTCAAATGTTTCAGCGAAACCCACAACAACGCAACATTTAACTGCACAAAAAAGGCAACAAGCTCTAACAAGGGACCACATGAGGCAGAATCAAGATGCAGACACAAGAAAGTTTCAATCTTTTCAACAAAAACAGAACCATTTCACCTTGCAGGTTCTCCATCTTGCCAATCTCAGGAGGGATTTCACCAGACAAATGATTCACATTCAAATACAAATCAATAAGCTCAGTCAAGTTTGCAATTTCTCTTGGAATCTCTCCATACAAAGAGTTGTAATGCAAGTATAGTCCTGTCAAGTGCTTCAGCTCAGCAATGGCTGGTGATAGCCTCCCAGAAAGCCCTTTTCCTTGCAAAGAAACATTTGCAACCTGACCCTTTTCATTGCAAGCCACTCCATCAAAGAAACCACCACATGGGTTACCATTCATAGTCCATGAAGACAAAAAATGGCCTTGAGGATCCAAAGTGGCTTTCAAGTCCATCAAAGCTCTAAGCTCAGCATTTCCACATACACATGTTATGTTAAAGAGCAAAACTAGGAGTGAAAAGATATGAAGAAGCAACACTGAACAACACATTTTCAGATGAAAATGGTTGAGGAATGAGGATGAAATGAAGCTGAGTTGTTTTGATGAACTAAAATTCTTCTGTCTGATAAATGTTCTGTTGCACTCAGTGTTTGTGTCTGGTTCTGTTTTTTTCTCTACCCGGCAAGGAGAGAGAGAGAGAAGTTGTGGTGGAAGTGACAAAAGATGCAGGGAAGTAGGGAAGTGGACAAGTCAGAAACTAAAAGAAAGAATAATAATAATAATAATAATAATAACCAAAAAATTACATTAAAAATAACATCAATGAGTGTTTGAATGTATTTTTTTTTAATAAGGTTTATCATATATTTTAAGTTAATTTTAATAATTTGGCCATATAAAATTATATTTATTTTATTTTTTAATAAAAAATAAAAAAATTAAAATAAACATGATTTACAAAGTAAAAAACTAATAAAACACTTTTGAATTTTAAAAATCAAAACTACATTTTAAAAAATAATTTAAGAATTTATTTTTGTGAGGGTTCTAAGGTTTGTAATGTATCTGCTATACACTTCACTTTCATTCCTTTGGGAGTGAACTTGAAAAGTAAATTTTTGAGTTCTGCAAAAGTGAGATAGGGTCATAGGGTGTGTGCCATGCCAAGATGGAATGGCACCATTATCATCATAACAAAAATCAATACACAGATTCTACCCCTACCCGAAAAAGGGAAGGATGGTTCTTTCAAGTAAATATTTTTTAAATTGTCTCATAATATAAAAAAGTTAAGAATTTCTAATTTCTGAAAAAACAATAAAAATATTTATTATACTTTTATAATCTTAATATAATAAATTTATATTTTTTATAAAAAAAATTTATGCTTAAATTCTAAGTTGACTAAAACCTTAAGAATATTTTTCTCATAATATTGCGTGAATTGTCGATAGATAAAATAAATAAATAAATATAAATGTCTATAATATTTTATTTCAAAGTTATTATAGCTTAAAGTGATTTAAAATTTGTATTAATCTTACATTTAAATGGAAGTATCATAAAATTTTCTTTTTTTAATAATTCTTTATTATTTTATATTTTTTTATTAACTAAAAAGTCTAATACACAACTATTCAATTTTCTAATATTTTAAAAAATATATATGTTATTATGATGAGTAAATATAAAATAAAATTTTTTATATTTCTTTTTTTTTCAAATTAGTTAACATAAAATTTAGACAAATAACATACTTTAACTTACAAATCTTTTCTTCATCACTTTTTTCATTTTACAAACTATTGTTCTCAATTGACTAATACATGATATATTTATGTAACGAATAATTATAAAAAATATAATTTAAAGCACGTTATTTTGTATCTACATATTTATATTATAAATCATCTCCCTTTAATTAATTTTGACACTTTTTTTTTTCAGACTTCATTATTTTTTCTTTCTACTATTTGATGAGTCCTGATTTACTTAGCTTAAACCTGATTAAACTGTAATACACTTATTTTATCGATTTTCTCAATATTTTTTTATTACTTAAGAATTTTACTTTCATATTAACATGGTGTTTGTATTAGAGATTACATAATATTTTAAATAATAATAAATTTGAACGTTTTAACGAAGGATTAAATTAACTAGATATATTGGTAAAAGAAAAATACACATTCAAATATTATATATAGTCAAGTTTTAAAAAAAATTTAAAAAAACTAAATTTAGATTAATTTTTTATATGTGGTATTTAGAATTTATATATATCGAAATATGATATTTTTAAAAATTATAAAATATGAAGTTTAAAAATTACTAAGTACAAGAAATCAAACATAAAAATTTTAAAAAATTAATAAAGTCTCAAAATTTGTCAATAATTTTAAAAAAAATAAAAAACCTAAAAAATAAAAAATTGCTAATAAAATTTTTTAAAATAATAATAAAATATTTCAAAATTATAAAAATAAATTAAAAGTTGCTATTTGATATTTATGGTTAAAAATGGTCAAAAGTTGCTAACGATGATTTAAACAAAATAGTATATGTACATAATTTTTCCAGAGATCTTATTTTTTATAATTAAAAAAATATAAAAAGTCCTCTAAATTTAAATTATATTTTGTTATATGCATTCATAAAGGAAATATATGAATACAAAAGTGGTACATTAATATATATAACTATGATTTATTAATAATTAATATTATTGACATCTAATGATCTTGCTGAATAAAAAGTAAAAATATAAAAGTTGAAGTTCAAAATTGGTCAAACCACGATTATTGGGTCTGGTTCAGTAGTCAGTACTGAGTGAGCATAGAACCGTACTCTTAACTTAACTTCACAAGACTACTTTTTGTCCAATTAAAAATGTTAAAAAACTATTTTTCAAACTACTTTTTATTTTATCTTATGTTAATAAATGTTTAGGTTTTGGGTGTACTGATATAAATATTTAATAATAAGTAGTGAATATTTTATATTTTTTACATAATTTATTAATTTTTCTTTCAATAATTAATGTTTAGATAGAATTTTAAAAAAATAATTTTTATTATATTTTTGAAGAGGGAATGTAATATAAGAAATCAATTTAAACAAGAGATAATATTATATACCAAAATATAAAATTTTGAGAGAATTATAAAAGTATAATACTAAAAATGGTCAATGACAATTTCTAAAATAATTTTTTTAATTAAATTTTTTAATTTTTATATTTTTAAAAAAACATCAATAATAATTTTTTATTTCCATATTTTAAATTTTTTAAAAATCTTATATTTTGAAATATATATTAAAAAAGGCATGTTATGTAGTCATAATATCAGTGACGAAAATCAACTGAGGTAATTAATTTGTCTTGTTTATGGGTCCCACTCTAATAATCGAGCTACTTCTGCCACGTGGGTCGTAGTGTGCGTAAGAAGCACGCGCCTCTCAGGCACGTGGATAAATCTTCTTGGCGGTGGGCACAGATTCCCTCGTATAACCAACACTTTCAAATTCAAACTTGGCTACAATCCTCTGTTCTCTGTTCTATCGTAACTTAGTCAAAATGAAAAAAAAAATCCTCACATATATATTACTTTAATTAACTATATTTTAAAAAAAAGCATAAATATATTTTTGAAAAAGAGCACAAAGTAGTAAGAAAAGATTAATTTTAGATAAAATTTAAATACAATATCATAAGTATTTTTAAAATTAAAATTTAGTAGACTAACTAATAGAATAAAAATTAAGATATATATATATATATATATATTTTAGTCATTTAAAATATACTATTTTATGTAAATTTAAAAAATTAAATTAATAATTTTTAAATATAAAAATCAAATAAAAAATTCATAAAAACTAAATTTTAATAAATTAATTAAATCTAAAAATTATTATTAAAGATAAACACTAAATTTAAAGAAAGAAAAAAAAAATCCTTTAATTTGATTGGCCGTAGCTGATAAATTAAAATTCAAATGAAGTTAATATTTTAAAGCCAAGTAACCTGAAAAGTCAGTTTTCACAAAGCACTTTTTTTTTCTGCTTTTCTGGGTCTCCCCATTTGTGCTGTTCCAGAGGTTGCTGACACCCCTTCACAGTGCTTGCCTATAACATAGCTTCTCTCTCTCTTTCATTTCTTATAACAAAATAATACTCTTTATAATTTTGTATTTTTCTATTAGCACCTTTCATCATTTTGTTCAAGATATTGGATTATTACGAGGATTCCTTTAATTTAAATCATTCACATTATTTCCATTTTGTCCAATTGTTAATATAAATAAAATATCCACAGATCTTTTGTTTTATTTCATTGCCCAATTGGCAGCATGGTCTAAAATTAAATAATATTTTGAAACTTTGAATCATTTCAGCTTTTGAATAATGCAAAACCAAATAACAAAATATATATAATAAGACAAACATGAAATACTTATAATGTAGATAACTGTCAAATTGGATGAAACAATTAATTTGGAAGATAGCAAATAAAAAAATGCCAAATATAATAATTAGACCACCACTGCATGCACAACTTATTGATCATGGACATAAAAGTAATTCAAGAAATGGGCATTTTAAAAATTCAAGAGATAAGTGAATAAAAAAATGTGAAATTGCTTATTCGGTTGTTACAAAGTCACACTTGATGTGATTATTAGCATGTTCAGATTATGGGTAGTGTTAAAATTTATTTTTAATATTATATAAATTTTATCAAAAATTATAAAAATATTATATTAGAAGTGGAAAAAGTGTGACTTATATACATTCTTGTCAAATTTAATAAATTCTAGACAATAACAAAATATTTTTAGTAATTTTTTTATTTAATTTTGATTGGGTATAAATTTATATATATAATATTTTTACATGTATTCAAACATACACTAGGATACACATACACGATACAAGATGTGTGTATACACAATACAATACAAAGATAAATGAATAATAAATTTTAAAAAATGTAAAACACAAAATAATTACAATATAATGCATAAAATTCATTTAAAAATTAAAAAAATAGATAGAATCTGTGTTTTAAAATGCTTATGAATGATCATAGACTAAAAACTATTAAAAATCATTGTGGTATTTCAACTAATATTAGTACAAAGTTTTAAAAAGTATAAAAATACTCTAAAAACATCTGAAGTATTATGACACGTTTATGTTACAGCACAGCTATCATATAGAAATAAATAACCATGGTTCTTATGCTATGATTAATCTGACAAGGATAAATGATGATCATGCAACTTAACATTATCCTTAAATATGTGAAGGAAACACAATAATCCAACTGGTAGGACAAGACCATAAGTCCACAATACAACTAACATTTGGTTAAGACTTAAGAAGAATATGGAAAGATTGTACAAAAAGAAGGTTGATAGAGTAATCCTATGTCATTACCAATAAAATATTCATATATTATATGAGAAATCTCAAATGGTTTTGCACCTTTCTTCTTTGTCCTTGTGCTGAAGCAGCACATATTCCCTTGCAAAGATTAGCTGTCCTGGATTAGCCTTTTTGAGATTGGAGCATAATGTGAATGTCCTGGTAAGGTTAACAAGAGCCTTAAGTTAATAATAGACACCCAAAAAGAAGGTTTTGGCATAACATATAAAAAATGTAGAATGCAGCTTTTGAGGCCTTGGATTTGGTATAGCTTGGAATCCTAGACATGCCCTATCCCAATTAGATCAGTAGTGGGTGTTGTTTGTGCATGAAGCCTTAGAATCGTTGTACCCACTTCAGGTGTACAAACTCAGAGATCTATAAATTTTAAATGTGGCTGCAAAGGATGTAGCATTAAGGCAAAGTTTAAATATATTTTTGAATTTATGTATGTAACCATTTTCTAGTTTGGCTGTTATATACTAACATGAAAGTTTTAGTTTAATATTTATATATAATTATTTAAAAATTAATTTTCATTATTTATTGTTATTATAGTACTGATTTAGTTGATTTTTTAGTATCCCAAACTCTTATGAGCTCTTGATGTATTCTTCAAACTAACAAGTAAAGTGAGCATTGGTGCCTCGAGCAAAAAAATGGTGGGAGTTTATAAAAGCATTTCAACGTTTAAGTTAACAATACTACAATTAATTATAACAGTTGTATTTTAACAAGGCATTTGTATTTTATATACATTTGAGTATATTTAACTTTGATACAATTAATTATAAATTATTATACATAAATACGTATATATATATATATTGAAAAGTGTATAGAAATTTTTTTAACTATAAAACAAAGGAGTCTGAACATTGAATGTGTCCCCACCTCATTTTACATTACTGTCATCCTATCAGTACCTCTTCTAACTCTAATAATTCTGAGTTTTCTATGCATCTTTCTTTCATTTTTTTTTATTTAGTTTTACTTTTTATGGTTGTAGAAAATTTACCTCAGATTATTCTTTGCCACTTTTTTTATGCTCTGCACAGACATGAAGCATCCCTTTCTTGTATGAACAAAATGCCATGCATCACTTTTTTCACACACTTTTCATGGTATGCTAGGAAGAATGTTAGGCCATTCTGTCATTTTAAGAAAAGAAGAATAAACATGGGTTTCTCCTTCTTCTTTTTTTTTTTCCTTTTATAAATTTCCATTTTCTCTTGAAACAATATTAGCTTCATTAAATGAACTGCAATTTGATTAGAAGCATAATACTGTTCTTCTCAACCTCTATTATTATTTATTTTTTTAATGTATAACTTGAACACAATTAAAAATCTATCTATAATAATTTTTCATGAAAATTACACAATTTAATTCATTAAAAATCACATAATAACATTAAATACTATTTTTAAAAATAAAATCTTACTTATTGATTTCCTGTGCATGTACAAGTTGAAAAATTAAATTAAATTCCATAATCTTCTTTCCAACTAACTTAAGCAGCCCCATAATGATGGAGATTAATCAATAGAAAGCATGGATTTGATTGTGAGGTCATGTGGCTGAAAATTATTCCCCACCATTCTCTCATTTGTGTTGGGTAGTGATGGAACAACCACCTACAGATAAGGGAAGAAACATACCTGTAAAATAATTATGATGGTACTAACACTGAAATTGCAGTCTCATGTGGTGCTGACATCTACTATATCATTTTTCCCCCTACACATGCTGTGATTTGTAATTCAAAAATTTTGCATCATTATTGATACCAAGTGAAAAATTATGGCCACCTCTGATCCAATTCTCTTTGCTGGATTGGTTATTCTATTTTCTTGAAGCATGACAAATTGCATGATCTAGAGTTGTCTTAATTGGAGAAGGTTTCTTGGAAGTTTTCCTTTGTCTATGAAGAGCCATTGCATGTGTGGAATGTTGTGCATACCACTAAACAAAGTGACTCTTTTAGGATGCTATTGCATGGGTCAACATCAACCTGAAGAGCATCTCCTTTTTATGATAGAATATGCAGAAAGCTTAGATTGCCATACACATATTGCATTAGAAGAAAAGTGTGAAAAAGAAAAGGATAAAAAAATACAAAGGAAAAACAACCAAGATTCCAAGCATAAAGCTGTAAATGATGGCGATGGACCCAAGGATCTAACTTATGTAATAAAATTATAATTGCCTTTATCCCATGCCATAGTAGGGATAAATAAATACCATATGCTAAAAGAAGGTCTTATGTTATGTTGGGTCATTATATTATTTTGAAACATTATTTCCTATCTGACTAGTTTATTATGCAAACTCGTTCAAGAGAGAATTCAATAAAATTAGCTTTAAAACTAACCGACTTGTGTTTAATCAGAAGTTTAATTTGTTTCTTTGTATGCAAATGTTCTTACTAACATAGAAAGAATTATTTATTAAGAAAATCCATAATATGATAGAAATTAAAACAAAAAAGTTAGAATTGATTGGTTTAGAAGGGGCAACTCCAACCAAAGATTTATTCAGTGGAGAAAAAGAAACTTCACCATGGAAATCCACCAGCAAATGCCCACATGCTGGAAAAGGAACATCATGTGCAATTTTTAATTTAACTTTTTAAAGAAAATAATAGTTTATGCTTACTATTTATTTTTTAAAAGAAGTTAAAAACTGTGCAGTTCATGCACTGCTCACAAAATACTAAGCCTTATGTATTAGGCTTGGAGCCAATACTCAACCCAAAAACCAATTTATGTAGGATTTTGTTAACGTCTATATTTAGAATTGAGTTTAAGTATTTAAAAGTGATAAATTTTTATTATAAAAAATAAATTTATTGATGATTTTTATTAAAAAAGAACAAATTCACTGCATTAAAATTATAAAACTATAATAAAAAATATTTAGTCGCAGAACCTACATTTAAAAGCCTAAAAGGCAACAAAAATTGGCACAAAGGCCCAAACAGAACAACTCTAGGATGCAGTGCTACTAGATTTACTTTATTAAAAATATTTTTTAATAAAATTTTACTGTTATTGATTCCTTAAATTTAACTTTTTAAAAGCTGAAGTTAATATTTTTCACTTTGTATTACAGGCATGCCTTGTTTCTGGATGCCATAGTTGGAACCCCAGAATTGGGTTAAAGCCTTTTATTTTTGTCAATGATCAAAGCCTGGTTTTCATACATGTACCTTATTTGTGTGGGCTTTTGGACTGGGCCTTAAAAATAAACATTCTGGACCAAAATACCAATAGTAATAATGATAAAGTTATTTTAAAATGATTTTTTTTCTGTAAAATATGTAAACAAGCACGTATCTATTCATCAAGGGTATGATGATTTTAAATCAATAAAATTAATTAAATAAAAAATAGTATTTCTTTTATATTTTATAAACAAAAATCACTTTAGAGAATCGTTTCTCACAAAAAAGAATTTAACTTGACAACAAAATGCGTAGCCATGCATTTAATGGGTGAAGAGAAAATTCATTTAGTCCAAGCCTCTCTGATTCATGGACCAGTGGGGGGAGCGTAAGAAATGATAATATATGACAGTGGTTAGATAAGAATAAGATACAATAAGGGTGTGTTAAAATCTTATTTTATTTTATATTTAATGTATACTAAGATAATAAATTAGATATATAGCTATGATATCATGTTAATTTCTAACTCAAACCTTCTCACAAGATAAAATTTATGACCAAAGAGAACAATAGAATAAGCTCATGGGATAAACTTATATGCTATTTATTCAACAATCTATAAAAGAGGACAGAAAAAAAATCTTATCATATTATCTTATTTTGGCTGCCAAACAAATTATTTTATTAGTATAATTATATTTGTTAATTAAGAGATATAATATTAAAAATTAATCTTCTAATCAATAATTATAATTATGCTTTATTGTTTGAAGTGTGCTCCTTTTAGAAACTAGACTCTCAATCGTTTATCAGTTTTTTTTTTACAACAGAAAAAAACTGTGGAGAGCTACTATTGGCTCGCTTAATTTTGTCCCAAATGTGTTAAATCCTTTGTATCATTGAACGATAAGCCTTAAATAGTAACTACTCATGAAAAATATCTCCCCTCCCACCATATCATAAGCTTGAGTCAGATTGTTGGGAATTAATTGCTGAGCCTTCCATATGATTTGCAACAAATTATTGGCACAAAAGTGTAAAATTTATTTAACAAGTCCTAAGTTAATGATTTTGAATAAATATATTATTTCCTGGCAACAAAAAGTTTTGCTTTTGTTCTGAATTTTTATTTTACTGTCAAATGATGTCTATGTTGGTCTACCAATCATTGACTGATCTGCTTCTATGATTTAGGTGGTTTTAGCCAACAATTTATTTAATAAACTTTTATTATATGAGAGCTTATATTATAATTTTAACAATCAAACTTATTGAAATAAACTAAAAATAACTTAGGAAAGTCATAAGTTATTTTTTTAAGTTCAAATAACTTCTTTATATGCTCTTCCAAATACACCCTTAATCCAAATTATTTGCAAAGTTATAGTTTAAACATGTACAGCGAACCTTCAACATCTTGTCTAGGAAAAAATCCCATACAACTATGAAGGATTGACTATGACTTTGGCATTCAAGCAGGGAACTTCATTTACTATGTCCCAGTTGAAATAACTCAAGCACTATACAGTATTAAGTTCAGAATTAAGAATTTGTTCTATTTAGTGTTTTGTGGTACTATGAATTTATTTGATTGAACAAAGAAAAATTAGAAGAAATTTAAGAATGTAAAATTCAAATTATAGGCCACAGTACTCATGCTCTATAAGTCAAGAGTAAGTTGAGTTGTAAGGAACTAAGCCCAATGCCTTAATAATATCTGAGTGATATGTATTATACATTCAAGATTGGAGAAAAACATGAAGATGATTGATTCAGAGAGTTGGAGCTCTCTCAGCAGTTCCAGCAATCACAGTGAGCAAGTTGTTGCCAAATGGGTCACTGAGATGTTTTGCAAGGTTCTCAACAGGACCTTCTCCAGTGACATATGCTTGGAAGTAGAAACCAAGCATGGCAAACATAGCAAGTCTACCATTCTTAATTTCCTTCACCTTTAGTAGTGCAGCTTGGTCTGGATCATTTGCAAGCCCCAATGGATCAAATGGACCACCTGGATGAAGTTTGTCTTCAAAATTCTGCTCAGAATAGGTCTCAATTAGTGAATCACCTGATTATACTAGTATTTGGAGGAGCGTTCATGCTCCACAAACGCGGGAAAAAATCATGTTTGGTTGTTGATTCCTATAATCAAGTTTGTCCATCAAAGTACATTTAACTAAAGATGAATAAATGTAGCTTTTGCATTGTTATGAGAGTTTTATAGTAATAATGTGTTTGGATTGATGTCAAATCTACTTAAGTCGATCAATTTTAATACTACCAGTTATAGCTTTCAAGTTAAAATGTAGTTTAACATGATTTTATGGACTTTCCAAACATGCACTAAGCTTTACTACAAACTTAACTCTTGAGATAAAATTTCTAAACGTAAATCACTTCGCTTCAAACTCAATTTTACCCAAAATCAATTTTAAAAAGTCAAGACCGCCCAAAATTTGCTTGCAAGCACTCATTCAACACAACTTAGTGCCTTACAGTACACTTAATTCAGAAATAAAACAGTAATAAGATGGTTCAATTGAATAAATACTAGCCTTCTTTTTGTAATAATCCTTATGTTATAGGAAAAGTTGAGAAAAATCTATTAACAATGACTGCTAATAATATTCAAATTGAGAAATTTACTTACCAGGCCATTAATAATTCTATAGTACTCTGCACCTCCCAAAAGAACAACCTCAGCAATGACAGCAACGATAAGATTGATGGGGATTGGTTTGCCAAAGTAGTTCAACGTACCCCCATCAAGAAGTAGAGCTCCTGTCTGAATCAATTCCATAAAGAAATTTGATTTGGCTTAATGTAAACAATAGAATAACAAAAAAGATTTCTATGTGCTAAATTGAAAGGTTGAGAATTAGTCTAATAGAAATAAAAGTAGATTATTTTCACAATTATCCGGATTAGATTAAGACATGTTTAACAATGAACACTAAAGTTGAAGACGAGACAGGTAAAATAAAAAGGAAAGATACATTATACTCTCAAGTCTATTGAAGTTTGGACCATAATGGTCATAACACACAATAGAATTCAATTTTTCAGACTAGAGTTTCAAAATTTGCTCTAAACTTGAGTCTATCAGAGTTGTTTTGCTCATAGAAGAGAAACTGAAGAGTCTTGGATTAGTACTTGTAAGGCCTATTGAATTTCTTTTGTAGTGTGTCATGAAAAATGTCTTAGTGAACTTGACACGGTTAAAAGTTGTTATAAAGCAAGCAAACCTTGAACCAAACAGCCTCAGGACCACAGTTTGCTCCAAATTTGTTGAAGGCCTCAGGAATGATGAATCCAGCAGCACCAAGCATTGCCCATCTAGCATGAATCAACTCAAATGCCTGATATCTGCATTAGATCACCAATCACCCAACCCAACATTACAACACAACTAATGTAACATAACCACATACATGGAAATCTAGTTTGTGAGTGTTAGTCATACTTGGCAAAGTCTTCTGGCTTCTTGCTAAGACCAAATGGATCATAACCATAGCTGCATGGACACACATAACCAAATTAAGCCAAAACAAGAACCAAAAATTTCTCAAACACTGTTCAGTGGCTTGCATGTCAATATGAATTAGAGTGTTAGAAGAGAGGAGAAGCCACATACTCTCCAGGAACTTCTCCAGTCAAGTACTCCGGAATCTCAGATCGGTCCAAGAGACCTTCTGGCAAGAAGATCCTTCTGTCAGGACCTGCCAACAAATGAAACCAAAAAACTTTAGCAACTAGTTACGAGTTGTTTGATTTGAGAATTTTCTTTACTTTCTCTGTTTCCTTTACCAATCTTTAAAACAAGAAACGTAACAAAAATAAGGTAACATTTTGTACTTAAAAGTAAAAAACAAATGACAACAGAAAACATTTTCTAAAACCAACAGCCCCGTAGTTTTCTACCTTGAGTTACATTGTCAAAAGAACACAAGTTGAAGTAACGTAACAGTTGAAACACATAAAAGACTTACCATACCACTTGGCAAGCTCATCATTAGAAGGAGATACAGCAGCAGGTTTTTGCTTAGGAGGTGCTGCTTTCTTTTTGGAGAAAAGAGCCACAGTCTTGAAGGTGGCAGGACTAGAGGGAGATGGAGCTGGCCTTGTGGCACCACTGAAGTTGATGGGATTTCCAAGCATTTCTGACATACCAAGGGAAGCAGCAGCTGTAGAAGCTGCAAGGGAGGCCATGTTTTGGAAACCTCAAAACTCAGGTGAATGTGGTACTGATTCACAAGCAGGTGGATGAAGGATGGAGGGGTGAGAATATGGAGATACTATATGCATGGTTTTGGTGGATGTGGACATGCCACGTCAGATTCATGATCATGGTTTTTGATTGGTCTACCTGAGAAATGTGTAATCCAATGCAAGGATTTGATTGGTTAATGTGGGATATGTGAGAGATGACGGTAGCTCCTTAGCTGGTAGATTGCGTGGTTTTGGATAACTTGTTTTATCCTACAACCTCTTGTTGGACTTTTTTCTATCATCCATTTTCATTCCCTTTGCCTACATACGCAGCATAGAGATTAATTGGAGGCTTTTGGTTTTTTTGTAATTTTTTTCAGACTTGGTAGAAACAATAGCTACCACATAATTATCGTAACACTCACGTGATTTGTGGTAATAATGAAGTAAAAAAATTGTTTTATTTTGGGACCATTCTATGGGTGGACCTGTATTGTGATTGAATTTCAACAAGTGAACATGGACCACACCAAACTTCACAGATGAAGATTTTATTGAGACACAAGGTTTGCAACTTCAGCTGCCAAAGCAGCTACCCATTTGAACATGGTATCACCAGACATGGTCTTACAGTTGCAGCACCGTAATAAGTGCTTCCAAGTTGATCTACACATCCACGACAGTGCTTGTTCTTCAATGCCTGAATTCACATATTGATTTACTAAAACATTAAATGCATTTTAGAGTTTTTTAAAACACTCGCAATATATAAGAAAATGCAACCAATGTTAGCCTTTCTCCAATGTTGATGACAGAAGGCTTGTTTACAAATTTAACGTTTGTTTGCTTTCACATTCCTCATCTCCTAAACGCACATATTTTTAACATGCATTTAACTTGATAAAGAGCACGTTCAGAATCTCAACAAAATCACATCTTAATGTAAAAGTTATGGCATTAAAATGAATTCACATTTCAACAAATTTAACATGTTACGAGTCTTAGCACGAATTTATGGCTTTCAAAACGGGCCACCAAATATGTGCTAAGTAAAAATTGACGAAACCCCAGATAATTAGCTTGCAAGGCGTCACAAATTCTCTGGTTAGTTCACAAACTTCTGGTATTCAGATAATTTGTACCTCGGTTAAACAATTCCAGATCAGACCAAATAATACACGGGATGAATATTAATATTAAATTTTAGTATCACATATACTGCTATGAGTCTAAACATAATGAGATTGCCATGATATAGTAATTCAAAAGAAAATACTGGCAGAGGGTTAAATTTATACAATTATATATAAAAGAATTAACGGACCCTCCCGTTATCGTCTCCACTTGTCAATTTCTTTTGATGTTGCTCTGATAAGCTTTTTAGTATTAATGACAATGTCGTCCACAAGTGCAGTAATATCATCCCTGAAAATAACACAATATTCATATTACGTTAAAAATGAGATGAAATTTGACAAAAGCCACAGAACAATTTCGGATAAAAAAAGGCTTAAAGGTACACTTAGATACACAACTTAGGTAAACAAATGTTCAAATGGGTCATAAATAAGTTTTCAGTTCTAATAAATGTATTTTTAGAATTGGTCCCTTAAAAAAACTTGTCAATATTTAGTCCCAACATTTTATCGGAGTCTAAGAATTAGTTCATGTCATTAAAAAATTTTGTTAATATTTAATCTTTGACAAGGACTAATTTTTTACTCCTTTAAAAGGACTAATTTTTTACTCCTTTAAAATGTTAAGGACTAAATACTTACAATTTTTATTTTATTTTTGTAAAGACATCCAAAAATAATAACATTTTGTAAGAACCAAAAACTTATTTAACCCTATAAAAAAATCTTTCACGCAGTAAGATATGTCTGAAGGATAGTGAACGGAGCCAAATTCCATTATATCCACACATCATAACAGAGTTATCCTTTTATTTATTTATATAAGTAGTGGTCTGCTGTCATGTACCGAAAGATTTTTTTGGAACAAGCATAATGTCTAATCTAATCATATGAAGCAACAGACTGAAAGAATTTATACTCCTTAAACAGTAAGGTTGAAAGCTTTTTATATTACCAAAATTCTTAATGCAAAATAGTGGCTTTCTCTGATGGTCTCATTAAAAAATTCATAATGCCCAAGTTTAATAAACCTGTCAATCTAACCACATCCATTGAGCAGCTAATTGAACAAACAAAATTATACAATGAAGATTTCTAGAAATATAAAATATATTAGACAGAAAATTTTGTCACAAAAATATTGTTTCTTTTTCCTATGTGAACTTTTTTTAACATTTCTTTGTACAAATTTACATGGAAAAAAACTAAGTACAGGAATTTCATATTTTAGCAATAAAGGTAAAAGTATTAGCAAAATAAGGATGATCAGGAAATTTACTTACTCAGAAATGAGGTTTCCAGAATTACGAAAGGGATTTCCAACATTAGAGTATCTCTTGTACTCATCTTGTGCAATTCCCTTCCCCATACCATAACCAAACCCTAAACCAATACCACACCCAGCACCAAATCCAAATCCAACTTGCAAGCCAGGAATTCCAGGGCCAAAACCCACTCCTGAAGTTAAAAAAGAAAAACATTTTGCATAAGATTTTATGAAGCATAAAACCACCCAGGAAAGTTATTCAAACTTATAGGGATGATGATGACCCAGATCAGAAACATAAACTGTATCTCCTTGTTACAATAGAGCAAGGGATGATCCCAATAATTAGCAGCACATGAGAAAGGTATCTACAAGCCTACTGTCATGAAGACAAGAAATCAAGAGCAAGGTTGAAACAAGAAGTGGGAAAGTAGCACTACATCTGACTGCTGTTCTGTTTAAGATTTTAGATATATTTTCCGTTTTTCATCAATTATGCTAAGGAATGAACTGCCAAGTGTCAAAAGTTCAAAGAGATTTGTCCGAAGGCATAAGGCAGAGTAAGGATTTCAACAAAGTCAGATTTTACCACATGATAAACCCAATTATAAAGCACCAAAATTTACCTAAATTCAGTACAACTCAGGGAAATTTAATAGACATTACTACTAGAAAGGGCTTCAAAATTTTACAAATTGTGCTTTACCAATAATATGCACTGCCTTAGTTTGACACTCAGTCAACTTTTGGTCCAAGAGGCCCAACATAAATTGGATACAAATTGTGCCCAAAATCCCAAATAGAAAGGAGCAAAAGCTGAAAAGACAGTAAAACAGCTGAGGAATTGATGGAGACTCCCCTTCATCAATTTAAAGCTTATAACAATTTATTAGTCCCAGTCCCACCACTGTTTTCCAACATGTGCTGACCCCATTCAAGGACTAATTAACGGCAGCATCTACAAAAACAAAACTACAATTCAATTGTTAGTTCTTCCTTTTTCTCTCAGCTCATCACTCAGATTTCTCTCTCCTGGAAATCCTTCATCTACATTGGTTTTACTAACATCATTAATTACTAAAAGATAAAAATTTAAAATGATGCACCTTAACCAACACAGGCGACCTCAAATTCAACGGATTTTGAGATTTCAACTTTTTAAATCGGTAAACATGAACTTAAATGACAAACAAAGGTTTCTAATCTCACTCTCTTACATCTCTCTCTATCTCTCTCTCATATTTAAATTCTCTTACATTGTTGAGTAATACGACATGGTGATGTTGGAGAGGATCAGTGATTCAGTGGATCCTTATTTGATAAAAAAAATGTATATTTCTCTCTTTAACATAACTTCATCATAATCGTATTACCTGACAATGATACAATCACTAATCAGAAAGGATAAAAAATTCTCTCTCTCTCTCTCTCTCTCTCTCTATCTATCTGTGTGTGTTTGTGTGTGTGAAGAAGGGGGTAACTAAATTGATTTTGCACATACACTTCCCCATGCTAGAAAAACTACCAAGTCTATGAAACCTATTGGTTCATCCAAAGAAAGAGTTATGTCCCAATTTGCTCTTACCGCATCCAACAAAACCATCACATAACATAAAAACTATACAACACCCCCCATTAGTCAATACTAATTTTCTCACAACCACAGTCATCATCTACCATTTTATTGACTCTATGCAAGCATAAGCACACCGATAACTAAGAACGACGAAAAATTGAAACTTTGAATAAGTACTAGAATTTGGGGGTAGAAGAATGAACCTCCGAGAAGGCCAAGTCCGAAGCCGAGGCCGCAGCCGGCGCCGACACCGAAGGCGGGACCCACCTTGCCGATACCGTCGGAGCGAAGCACCGGAAGCTTCCACAGCAAACCCTTGTCGTCGTCGCCGTTCATCTTTCTATGGGATTTCACTTTAGAGCTTGTGTGTGTCTCTGAATGTGATAGAGAAAGAGAACAAGGAAATTCTAGAAGACACAACCCCTGATACAGCTCACTAATTAATCATTTATGAATAATAATATTTTATCAACGCTATTATGAATTTTAATTTCAAATTAGGAAAATTTTCCAATTACTCACTTTTCTTTTTAAAAAGGCAAAGTTTATGATTTTCAATTAATAAAAATGTAAGCACTTTGTCTTTTGTTGAAATTACTGTGCTATTTATTTCTAGATTTAATTGTATTTTTTAATCTAAACAAATTTGATATTAGATTTTGAATCTTTTTTTGGTAAAGAATCTTTTAAACTAAAGTGACTTAATACATTATTCAAAAATTAATATATTATTTTTTACGAATAATTATTCTAATTATATTTATTTAAAAATAAGGAAAATTAAGGGTCATCATTAATGAAGAATAAGTAAAACGAATATACCTGAAAAAACATAGATATAGATTTTTCTCATGTTGTAAAAAAGTATAATTTATTATATAAAGTTTCACAATAATTGATAAAAATCACTGATCACATATAATACAATTTGTATTTTTCTTCCTCACAGTTACTTAATTATATCATATTCACTACACCTTATATTATAAATCTTCGTCCCTGTTCTTGAATCAGCATTTTTTAAAATTATTCACATCCTTATTAAGTTGACTTTTCTTAAGTTAAGATATATATATATATAAACAACATTTCTTAAATTTAATTTAAATTTTTAATTTAATGAAAATTTTAAATCTTGATAGAAAAACATCTAATTTCAATTTTACTTTAAAATTTTATCTAATAAATAACAAAAATCAACATCTAATATATATTATTGATTTACATAATTTTCCTAAGAAATAAGGATATAAAAAAATTAAATAAACATAAAAATATTTATCATATTTTATTTAAATATTATAAATATTTTTATAATTTATAAAAATTAATAATCTACCAATTTTTGTTATATATTGAATTAAATTTGCAAGTAAAAAATAAATTCAAATAATTAAAAAATTAAATGTAAATAAAATTGGATATAGTAGAAAAAGAAATTGGGATTAAAGAAGCAGTTGGTCCCAATCCCATAAGTGGGACTGTGTGAGTGCTCTCAGTGGCTTCAAAATCACAGAACGCATTTGATTTGAACGGTGGAAGAATAACGATTTGATTTGAATTGAGGTAACCCTTTAATTGCCCCATTTTCTCTCCTATTAATTTCGTTTTTCTTCGTAACCCATAACTGAAACTGTCAAACGGCAGCGTTTTCCATATACCGTTCCAAGTAAAATCGAATATTCCAGAAATACAGTGCGGTCTAGAACCTTCGGGAAAATTCCAGAAACATAGCTCGGTTATGTCGGGTTTGGAAGAAGAAAAAAATTCACCAAGTATAAGCCTGTAAGGTTAAGGTGTTTGTAAAAATGCTACAGTGAGGAGAATGGTTGGGTGGGTTGGGTTTCCAATTCTCAGAACCCAAGTTTCCAATTCTAGCGTACTCTAACGAAATTAATATATATTACTGAAAATCATGTTAGACCATGGATCAATTGGTAGGAAGTTGTTTCAACTTAACCTATGAATACAAGTCTGTCATATATACTCACTGCCTTTGGTGGGCTTACTCAGCTTGAACAGGATTTTGCCTTCCGTGGGGAAGGATATCTGTGGTTTAGACGAAAAAAAAATGTTAGAAATAATGAAGAAAGTGTATTTATCATATTTTTTTCATTTTTAGTTTCTTAAATAGTTTATTAAAATCAATTTTAAATAATTGAATATGATTGAAATGCGTCTATATTAGTTTGAATTGCATGCTTTTATTTTAAAACGTGTATTTTTCATTGAAAAGGGCGATAATCAAACAAGGCCTAGCATTGGATAGCCAAACATTTATGAACTTCATAATTTTTTTACCATCTTTCTCTTTTGCAGGATACTCCAACGACCATACATGGGGTTACCACTACTTTCTTATGCATTATGGGATCCTTCTCATAACTGTGAGTTACCCTTTTCTTATTATTTCATTTTACTTTTTAACAAGTTTCTGGAATACTATTCAATAAGGGAAACATAAAAAATTCTCACTGTTGTTTGAATTTGATTTTTATTTGCAGTTGTTTCCCCCAGCTTGGAGTGTATCTGTCCCTACCTTTCAGCTTCTAAGTCATATTCTCTTGGTTTGCAGGTTTTATTTGTTTTGCTCCTATATTTTCTATTTGATGTTGTGCATATTTCTTACATTTTCTTGGTCCATTCTAATGAAATTCAGTATACAACTTGATTTGCAGTACTCTCTTAAGTCTTACTCTTCGTTTAAAAAACTATTAATCTGCTGTCCTTTGTCTGACATTGCAGAAAGTAATCTGCAAGTCTTTTAAATATACTGCTGTCCTTTTGTTTATCTTTCCAAACAGCCTTGTTGGAACTTACACTTTTGTTTTGTTTATGTTCAGTTTAAGTGCCCACAATTTCACAAGGGTGGATCAACATTGCCTAGAGTTTTAGTTTGTGCTAGTCGAAAGCCCAAAGGTGTTGAAACTGTATGGAGACGAAAACTATTACCACAAAATGTGGATTTACCACCAATTTTACCAAAGAATAAGAAAAAACCATACCCTATTCCCTTTAAGGAAATCAAACAGGCTGCAAGGGAGGATAAGAAACTGGCACGCAGGGGAATAGAGAAACCTCTTCAGCCTCCGAAGAATGGATTGCTTGTTCCAGACCTAGTTCCTGTTGCATATGAAGTGTTTGATTCCTGGAAGCTTTTGATTAAAGGTCTTGCCCAGCTATTGCATGTCACTCCTGTACGTGGCTGTAGGTAGATTATCTTAAACTTATATTTTTTTGGTGAATGTCCAAGTTGCTTTGCATTTGTTTCTCTTATTTTTAAGGCTTATATGAGAGTTAAATTCTTATCAATTGAATTCATGCAGTGAATGCTCAGAAGTTCATGTAGGTAAGACTGGTCACCGCATTCGGAATTGTCTTGGTCCTAATAGTCGGCAGCGTCATAGCTTGCATGCATGGGTAAAGGGTTCAGTCAATGACATACTTGTCCCAATTGAGTCCTATCATCTTTTTGATCCCTTTGGCAGGCGTATTAAACATGACACACGGTTTGAATATGACCGGATTCCAGCTGTTGTTGAGCTTTGCATTCAAGCCGGTGTTGATATCCCAGAATATCCTTCGCGCCGAAGGACCAATCCCATAAGGATGTTAGGGAATAGAGTAATTGACAGAGGTGGACATTTAGAGGAACCTAAACCATGGCGCTTCGCGGACTCCTCTACTCTCAATGACTTCGATACTTACCGAGCTAGTGAGCGATTTCCACAACCATCATTGGCAGATGTACCTAAAATTGCCCAAGAAACAATTGATGCATATGAAACAGTGAGGAAGGGTGTGAGGAGGTTAATGAAGAAATACACTGTGAAAGCATGTGGTTATTGCTCAGAGGTTCATGTGGGACCATGGGGCCACAATGCTAAGCTTTGTGGTGCATTTAAGCACCAGTGGAGGGATGGGAAGCATGGTTGGCAGGATGCTACTGTGGATGAAGTTTTCCCCCCAAATTATGTGTGGCATGTTAGAGACCCTAATGGACCTCCCTTGGCATCTGCACTGAAGAGATTTTATGGAAAGGCTCCGGCTGTCGTTGAAGTGTGCATGCAAGCCGGTGCACAGATCCCGGATGAGTACAAGCCCATGATGAGGCTTGACATCATAATCCCAGACAGTGAGGAGGCAGGACTGATAATCTGACCAAATGCTTGCTGTGTTCATGTGTAATTTTACATGCATAATCCTAGCTTGAGAAACTGATTCAATGGTCTACCAAAAGGGGAGGCCTTAAGAACAATCTTCAAAAGCACATGCATTTCCCATGTATCCAACGTTAGTGTACATGTATATAAGCTAATAGCGGACAAGTAGGTTTGTCACAATTTTGGTACGTCAATTTGTCTGTATAATGTCTTCAACTAGTGAAAAGTTATGTAGGAAGATCAATTCGTGTATTAATTTAATGTCTCAAATACAACAAAATGAAATGGGACTTTTAATACATGGTTAGTTGGTTAAGGATTCTACTAAATCATAACATAGAGAACATTGCCTTCTTGCAGTGAGAAATTTGGGAAGGATATCTTCTTTCAACTTACAGAGTTCGTGGGACTCACATAAAATCTAACATTGGTGATCTCCTTGGTAGAGAAAAATGGTTCTTTTAACAGGAAGTAAGAATTTCTTCCCTGCAGTGTACAAATTAATAGTATGCTGTAAGTGGGTTGGTGTTGGGAGAATTGATTGTTTTGATTCTTTCTACCCTTTTATTAGAATTAATCAAATATAGTGTGTTTAAAAACACGTTATATGCTTCTAAACGTTAATCTACCCATCCATCTTAACCTGAAATCAAACATATTATAATGGTAAAATAACTTTTGTATTTTCACACATTCTTTTAACATTCATTTTTTATTCTCCTCTTTTTTTAATCTCTTCTTTTATTGCATCATTAATGATATATTTTATCTTTTCTTTCTTTCTTTCTTTCTTTTCTTTATATTTCTTTTCTTTTCACCCATCTCTCACCCAAATCAAGGATATCAAGGTATAATCAGATAATTACAAGATATGATAATAACATTTTTTTAAACGAAGAGTGGCAGATGTTACTAGACAGTAGACATGATGTCAGTTGAGATATCCATGAGGAATTTTTTTGTACTTCTATAATTTCTAGTTTTTTATAGTTATTTTTCTTTATCAAACAGTTTTTTATTTAAAAAATAACCATACATATCAATCGTTTTGCCTTAAAGGAAGGAAATATATATTTCAGAATTACTCAAAAAAAACTTCCAGATATCTACAGCACCACCGTATCAGAACAGGATTTTAATGGGTAAAAGGATTCGAACTGATGCAATGAGAACGCAACAAAGGGATATGTTTTTCTCTTTGCTTTAATGATGCCACACTGGATTTTTTGTCATTTATTTATAAGATAGTGGGACTGTCACTCATTGCATATTCTTGTGGGCTACAATGTCCACTTCTAATATTTTCTTAATAGATTTATAATTATTAAATATTTTTTATATTTTCTGGATATTAAATTTATTTCTTATGCTTTTTAAAATCTTAAAAATTTTCATGCAAATATTTTACAATATTTTTATTTGAAATCTTTAATTTTACCACTAAAGTGAAACTCAATAGAAAATAAGAAAAAAATATTTCTTTTTTTGATATAAGAGTTGCAACTTTATATATTATAATTATGTTGTGAAAATATCATAAAAATTAATCTAATCTTTATTGATATTAATTGATATTATACTTTTAATGAAATATATTTGACGCTTTTTGGTATTCATTATTAATTAAAACGGGTTTGACATTTCTGCTATGAATTCACTTTCCATTGTTTTCTTAAAAATTATTCTTGCAAATATGTAAGTTTATAACTTTTTAAAAATTTATTTTATTTTAAAATTAAACAAAACTGATGATACTAAATTAATTTTAAATTAATGAACATAATTAATATTATATCTAAATTGATCTTAACTATAAGTTATTTTTTATTAAAAAGTATACCATAGTGTGAGGAATTAATCCTGGAAGTTAGTCACCGACTCTCTCATTTTTATCACATATACATCACTAGCAATAAATTCTACATCTTTTTTTTTTTTGTTAAACAGTAAACATCAGTTAAAAAAATTAAAATAATTTTTTTTATTAAAAATCATATTAAAATATATTAAATTTTATACTTAAATATGTTTTTATTCTTCATATTTTTACAAATTTTTTGTTTTAATTCTTTTTTTTATTTAATCTCTATTACTGATTTGTCTATTAAAATGTAGTTAAATGTTAATTTTTTGTTGAATTGTGTAATTAAAACAATAATTTACTATAATAGACATTAAAATTAAAAAAATCACTAAAATATATAAATTTAAAATATATTTAAGTGCAAAATCTACAAAAAAAAAATTAGATAATAGATATTTAGCATTAATAATATTTTCCACGCAAACTAATTAATTTCAATTCAGTTTCTTTGCTTTTAGAAAAAGTCTCAAAAGGGAACAGTTAAAATGGAAATGTTGTGCAATAAAGAGGCAAACTTTTTTTTTTTGTGAAATAGTTAAAGCTTTCTCCTTAATTTGGAAGTGTTACTTTCCTCGACACATAAGTTTTGTTTTGTTTTGTTGAAACTACAAACAGGGAACAACAATTTGGTAAAGGCAATGAAGGCTTTTGTGCTGCGTTTGTTACCTCTTGTGTTTGTTCCTCTGTTTCTTTCCCTATTGTTATTAGCGCTTATGCCAAAGGAAACCGCTATGAGAACCTATGAGGTGTTTGGAGTGAAGATAGAGAAGAACCCACCTCAGTCCAAACTCAGTGAGCTTGGAGTCTCAACTTGGTCCAAGTAACTTTCTCTTTCTTGTTTACTTTCCTTTTCAAAGTATGATCATGTTTCTCAGTTTTTTACTGCTTCCAATGATGTTTCTCCTTTAAAGTTTCAAACTTTCTGCATAACAAATTTTGGGTCTTGGTATGTTCGTGCTTAACACACTCAGCTAAAAAGTTATTATATGGGTAATTGGTAATTGCATTAATATTTTCTGGGGTGTTTGTGTGGCTGATCAATCATACAGGGCTGTTAAGTTTTTTTTTTTTTTTTTTGTTATTTTCAATTGTAAACTGTTATATTGTTTTTATTTTGTTTTCTGCTTCTAAAGGTTTGTCAAGAAAATAGTTGATACAAAGTAAAAATATAGAGTGTCTACTGAACCAAACAATTCATAATGTTTTCATTTTTTTTTAGTTACAAGTTGTCATCTTATTTTTTATTCATGTTTTTAAAGATTTGTTTTAAAAGTGGTTGAAGTTTTTTTTTTTTTTGTTGCTATTTTTAAAAATAAATCTTCAAAATAGAAATAATATAATATTTTTGTTATAAAAAAAAAAAAAAAAACTTTTTGAAACCAAACGGTTCTTAACTGTTTGCCATTTCAATGATTGTACCATTTGCTTGTGCTATGTTGCTTGCTCTTAAATCCTTCAACCTGCACCAATAATAGTCTCTCTCTAGGATCTTGAGAGGATTATCTTATAATTCAGCTTGAAGTTTACGTGCAATCTTCCCTAGGTGCTCTGTGTTTGATTCCTTGAAAAGGTAGTGCTTTATTTACCCTCATCATTCTTGTGCTGCTTGAGTCTCTGTTTTTGGTTCTGTTGATTTCCTGTTTTGTTTCTTTATGATTATTATAGAAAGAAAAAAGAGAAACACCTATATAGTTCGAAAATTACATATCTTGACCCCTTATGAGAGTGGAGCATTTTGTTATATTGACATCCCTTGTTAAATGAAAGAGTTAAAAAAATATAAAATCATATTGTATTTATAATGTTTCGTCTTCGATTGACTATATCTATATCATATAAAAAGTGTAACATTGATCAAAATTGTGACTAATTGTTATGATACGATATTTAATTTGAATCATATAGAAAGGTGTTGGTAAAACAAAAAATAGTGTCAAGGTGCCCCTAATGCTAGTATTGATTTTTCTTCTTTCTTCTTTCATATCTATATTCTTGTTATTGTGTAAGATACCATGCTTAGGGAATATTGGTGTTGTCCTATCCCTATTTAACTTAATTTTAATGGGTGGAAACGTGTTGGATGTTTCATATGTTATCAAGACAATTATTTATACCATTAGCAAACTCAAGATGAGATGAAATTTTAGGAATACTGTATGTTTTGAATTTTTAATGTATGTTAAAATTCTTCTATTGCTATGGAGACAGTAGTGTAGTTGTTTATTAAGAGGCATGCAATTGCAAATTTTTAGCATTAATGAAAAACATTGCATTGCATTGTTTATCCTCAGAATGAAGTTAAATTTCATAAGGCTTTTTTTTTTCTTTTTTCTTAAGCTTGAGTTTAATGCCTGCTTAGGCAGAAAGTTAGATGATACCTTTCTCTATGAAGAGTTCTTTTCTTGTGTTGTTTGATTGAAATTTAATTTATTTGGATATGAAGATGTATCTATGTTAGGATCAATGTAATCACTGATCAGCTTAAATACTGAATGCGATCGATGAAAAAGTTAAAAGAGCCTTCATTTTTCTTTTTAAATTTGAAGGTAAAGGGAGTTCACTAGTTTTATATATAACGGAAATTTGAAGGCCAAAGGTGATAGATGAAAATATTTAAAAGAACCTTGTTTTAAACTGTAACATTACAGTATTAACATGAGACTAAGCCTTTGGAGTTCAAGGTCATTTTTATGCTGCTGAACTTGGTGTCTAAATTTTAACAATCTAAATCTCCTTTCTTTGAGTTATTTTTTATAATATTACTTCAATTTAGTGGAAATATTGGTTTGGCAAGTGATTGTTTGTTCATAATTTAGTGATATCAAATAGTGTTTATATATATAAACAAATAGATTTTTTGGGCTTTTAGTTCATCTTTAACCCAAAACAATAATAATTTGGGGGAAAAAAAGGCTTTTAGTACTTTAAATGGTCTGGAATCTGGATGATTGTTTCATCTTAAGGGATCTAAAAAATAATACATGTGATAGAGACAGTAGCAAAAAGAAAGGCTTCAATAAAAGGATCTTAGACCTATATCAGAATGGTTTTCTATTATTTCAAATTTTATCTTCTTGGTTATTTATTTATGATAAAGGAATTTATGGACAACAGGATTCATATTGATTTCTATCCTTGAAAATTGTATACATATATAGGTGATGCTAATGATAATATGGAACTATATTGCAGTTTTATGCACCAAGCTTAAAGTTAAACAACATGCAAAATTTTCACTTGTAAAATCTGCATTTGTTTGTGCAGATTTATATCTTTTCTTCTTTGGTTTTGCTTTCTTTTTAGTCCTTTGATTATATGCTATCTTTTTAATATTTCATACTATCTTAAGTTTCTTTGACACATGGATCTAAACATTTACCAGATGGGAAAGTGGTCCTACAAAAATACCGTGGTCCTTTAAAGTTGAAGAGACTATGTATCTGCTAGAGGGAAAAGTGAAGGTTACTGTTGAAGAATCTGTTGGATCTTTTGAAATTGGGGCTGGTGATTTAGCTGTTTTCCCAAAAGGAATGAACATTACTTGGGAAGTGATTGAAGCTGTGAAGAAGCATTACAGCTTGAAAAAATAATGTGTAAATATAAACTTTTCCACTGTCGTGGCCTAATTATGCCATGCATGAACATAATCAAGTAATTACTACTCACTGTGGCTATAGTTGCTAGTTGTTTACTGGGATGTACCAAAGCCTTCACTTCCCTTAATTGTACCTTTGACAGTGATGCTATTTGAAGTAATCTCTAATCATTATGTTTAAGATGATTATGGAGGGTGCACGTTCTCATCTTGTCACTTGTGTTTTTACATTGTCTATGCTAATTGGTTGGATCCCTTATTGCAAATTTATTGTGCATGAGGACATAGATAATGCTATTAGATTCTTCTGAATGATTGTAGCTATATATATTTTTATTAACCATTTCACTTGGATTAGCATGAGATAATGTTTGCTCCTTTTTGCTTTAAAGTAATAAAATTATTTTTTTCACCTTATAATAAAAAACACACATTTTAATGTAAATATGCAATTTAGATGAATATAGATTATAAGTCTACTCAAAATTGAATCTTAAATGTTGCTCAAACAACTTGCTTCTTGGATGCTAGGTTTTCAGGGGAGTTTATCTCAAAAATAGCATTTCCTGAAGATTGAGTGGAGGGTAAATCTAAATTATAGATGAAGGGAAATTTCATATTCATGCTTGAGAAATTTGACTGTGAACACATTAATCTTGAGAAATTTGATGTCACTCATCAATCTTTAAGAATGTAACTGAAGTAGTATTCAATGCTTAAAAATAATATAACTGACATCTCTGGTATTTACAAACTAGGGTGACATTATTTTTGTATCATTCGAGACTAATGTGTTCCACCACTAAATTTCTCAAGAATAAATAGAAAATTACTCGTTAAGATATTACTCCTACTTGATTAGTTTGCATTCGATGTTTATTTCTTTCTGCATGAAAACATTGATTCTCGGGACAGATTTATGTTTGTTAATTTACAGGAGGGTAAAAAATAGGGACAATGAACTACAAAAACAATTTAATATGTTACAATTTAAATTTAAAAAATGTTACATGGTTAATTGGTTTGTGTATTTCGCATGGCAGTGAAAGTAGCACAAGAATGAATATAAAACTTGCACGTAACCTATCATGTACATGCAAAGACCCTATCTCAATTTTATGGTACATTATAAAGATTTGGTTACAAAGGCCTAAAATTAGAGTGCTACCATATTGAATTTGAAACCCATAACAATTAGACTTGCTAATATTGCAAATATAAATTTTCAGTTTAGTTTCCCTTTTTAACCTTATGCCACTAATGATAAATACCACCTTTTCCAGCTCATACATCCTTTTGTATGTTCTATATATAGCTCTTACAGTTGGGAAGGTCAACCAAGCCCAATTCCATGGATAATTTCAACTTAAAAGACTTGTTATGCTGGAAGGTAAAACGAAGATTATTGTTGATGAATGTGATGGGTATTTTGAAGCATTGACCATGGTCCTAACTCCTAGAGTGATCCTTTGTGCTCAAGATGATCGGAGTTTGCACATAGTCACATTCATAGTTTTGATTTAACAAGTCCTGTCAAATAGATTTTTATTAAGACGTCAAGATTTCATGAGAAACATTAGGTTTGTTCCATAAAAAGAAGGGAAAAAAAAAGAGAGAGAAGGAGGAGCCCAACAAAGAAAAAATGTCTTCAGTGAGACTTCCTCAAAAATAATTGAAATTTTGTATAATGTACTCCCTAAATTAGCAATGCTACACTACACCTTTCTTTTTTCTTCTATTATTTCTTTCCTATCCAGTGAGCTTGGACCAGTAGCTAATGCTGTTATACAAGGGATAATTACAGCAATTTTCTTTTAATGTAATTTTTACAAAGAACAATAACAATGACAAATTATACACTGAATATGGTAAATATATAATATCACATGCTCATGGCTCTTGAGGAAAGTTCTGAATCCCCCTCTTGTAAATCTGATTCAGCTACATCATTAGCCTGCAAAAGATTATGAAAATTTTATCAAAAGTAATCCTCATAGTTCATAACTGCTGAAAATGAAGGAAAACATCTCCAGTAGGAACATGCTGTTGTATTAGCAGGGGCTACCACAAGGTTACTTAAAAAATTCATAGGTTTTATAATAATCTATCCTCAAACATAAATCCGATGCATTAGGCAGCACAAGTTCAAATGTAAGATCATACTGCTGAATCCTTCACCTTAGCTAGGTAATTCTCGAAAGCACCATCTCCGCGAAGAATTTTCCCTCCAGATCCAGGGTCAGTTAGTGATCCTACTGACTCTTCATCAACAACAACTGCATCAACTCGGTCACTTCCTATCTTGATATCAGGAATCTGGTGCACATAAGCATTGTATGTATCAGTATAAAATCATAGAGAAAATGATGATAGTTTGTGATACTTGAAGATAGTTGATAGCCTGATAGACAGATATTTTAAGAATAAAGAAATCATTCAATACCTCAAACATGGCTTCAGTTAAAATGCTTTCCAGTAGGGCTCTTAAACCCCTGGCACCAGTATTTTTGGCCATTGCTTTCTTTGCTATCAATCTTAGAGCTTTCTCTGTGAAGTGTAACTTAACCTGAGGAGAAGGGGTAAAGTATGAGATAAACAGACTTCCCTTTGTCGACTCTACCTACTTACTTGCACTCTTAATTGAAAAAAGGAACACACACACAGGACAATTTTAATGATTTGCACAAAAAAGCCAAAACAAGTTGACCCGTTGGACCTATCAAAGACCAACACCAAAAGGCAACAGAAAAAGTAACAAACTAAATAACCAAGGTTGGTTTTGATCAGGCTTCTATGTTATGTTCCAATGTAGAAAGGCAAAAATGGCTCAGAGACATCTTACAGTCAACATCAAATGATGAAACAAATATGGAGAGATTAGGGGATACTTTGATGTCTTAGGAAAGTAGGATGAGGGGAGACTGCAAGTGATTAATTACACGTTTTTTAAATTAAAAATATATATTAAATCAATGAGTCATTATTAGAATATTCTGCCATGAGACAATCATTAAATCAATCACTTTAACCAGTTTAAGGTTTGAATCTTTTCGCATCTCCATATGCCTAAATTTTGTTGGAGTGGACGATGTGGATTGGGTGGCTACATGGGTTCAGGTTTTCACACCACATGCAGAGTGAGGCACTTACACTGACACACACAAAGAGAGAGAGAGAGAGAGAGACTGAGAGAGAGTTGCTTACATTATTCATGCTAAATAATTTCTTGTACTGTTTACCAAGAGCATTTTTTGGTTCTGTAAGGACCTGTAAACCCAACAACACTGTCATAGTCGTGGTCATATATCTGCTTAAAATCTAAAATAAGTAATAACTATAATTCTTCCTCAAAGAGGAAAATTAAGTATTATTCCACATGACAGCACGTCAAAAATCTAAACCAACACATCCAAAATGATGTAAGCAGCACATGGGAAATTTTTCAGATAATATTCCCAATGCCCAACGACAGTCAAGATGCTAAAAGGAATTGAAGGCTGACAAATGATGGGCCCACTGAGAGAAAAATTCAAACTCCCTTTGTACATATGAAGTAACCTATACTAAATATAAAATGGATTCCTCTCTTTTATAATTTTCTACTTTCTCAAAGTGTTCTAATATTCAGTGTAAACAACTGATATAGAGGCCCAAATTGTCAACATAAATTAAACACAACACCATTTACAACTACCCTACTTTTGAGGAACTTTTTCCAATTTTTGTTATAATTACAAGGTAAAATCAGTATAGATTACACTTCATAACAACATCACAAGTGCCTATTCTACTCATAACAAATCAATACAAAATTCAAATTTATTTTTCCTATTGCTTTCAATAATATTAAATATGAATCATGCACTTGCGCAGACCAAATCACTAAATTTTCTTTCTTTATTAATTTTATATTTCCTTGTTATAAAAACAATGTAGTTCATTATTTAAATATATAAATAATAAATATATAACAAAGGCCTTGATACAGTAAGAGAACAAAAAAGATTTAAAGCTTTTAGAAGGATAAAAAAAACCAAAAGGATTCTACTAGTTATATGTAGAAAGCATTAGAAGTGACAGAACAGAATCATCCCCATAGGCAGCAGGCAAGCAGATTCAGTACTTGGAGCACGAAATTTTAGAGAAATGGGGTAAAGCTATGATAAGATTGAAGACAACAAAGCAAAGAATACCATCATAAGTTGGTCTTCGGTTAAAGCTGACAAGCTGACTAAGATGGGGAATCGTCCAATAAACTCTGGTATGAGGCCATACGCAATAAGATCAGCACTTTCCACCTGAAAAGTATTAAATGCAACTTTTTAAACTCATTAGGATAGATCTCAGCTACAACAATTCATTATCTCACCACTGAGGTTTTATCTGGTGTTGAAGGATTTGAGAAAGCACACAGCACCAGGGTAGCTTAAATCCATTTTATAAGCTTTAATTTCTTAATGTATCCATCAATCTAACTAGTCTTACAATTATAAAAAAGGAGAATCATATTTCAGATAATAAGAGCCAATTCTCACCGACTCAAGTAAAGATGAAGTAACTACAGAATCTGTTACGGCACCAGTTCTCATATTGGCACGAACTGGTGCTCCAAAACCAATAGAAGAATCTTGTCGTCTGAATTGTTTGATAAATAACAGAAGTTAGTGAATACTCTTGCAGAAACCAAGACATATGTAAAGCATCTTTGAACAAATATTTTTGTGAGACAAAGGCAAAAAGGACTAACCTCTCTGAAATGGTTTTTTCAAGATCAATAAATGCTCCACCGCATATAAAAAGAATATTTTTTGTGTCCAACTGTATAGCATAAAAAATGAATGGAAGATTACTGAAAAATTAACAAATGCTGCTAGAATTATATTAAAACTGTACTAGCTACTAGGCAACTGAACTAGGTAGACAGAGTTTTTAAAAGAAACTATCCATTTGGCATTTTCTCCTTCGCAAAATTCCTCAAGCTATTTATATAGCTTATAATGAAAGGTGAGAAAATTTGTCTAATCACATATTAGTACGTGCATGAAAATGAAAATGGATTTCCTTCTTCCAGAACAGCATACCTGAATGTTATCCCCCCGTGGATGCTTCCTAGCTCCTTTCTCAGGAACGTTTACTATCTAGACAATAAGAAATTATTCCTAGTTTAGCATACAATAAGAATGGCACTAACCAATTTAGCACTTATTTCTTTCTCCAACCATTCAGCACATATAATTTATGAATAAGTAAAAATTTACAGTGTTCCACAAAATAGCAAGGCAAAGTATCAAAAATATTATTTAACCCGGATCATGAGAGAAATTATATTTATTTTGGAAGCTAAATGTATAGATAAATCTAATATTAAAGTGAATCTTAAAGACAGTGGCAAAAAAAGGCTTCATAAAATACAGTTAAGAATTTAGAATCATAGAATCAAATAAAATTAATCATAACAGACCACGGAGCTGATTTAGTCTCAGCACAGAAAATTCAAATTTCAGCAATTTTTTTCCTTTCTTTTATTACTTTTTTGTTTTGTGACAACCATGGAATTCCTAAGCATAAAGGACACCAATGATAATTTGATGTTTGTTTAATACAGTAGTGGATGCTTTGGTGGTGATTTAAATAACAAGGGCATTTTCTTAATATACTGTAATTTCTTAATCTAATGAAACCACCATTAATGCATCATTGCTATTTACTAACAGTTAAATACCCTCACACATATAATGGATAGAAGCTCAAGATGCAATAGTAAGAGAACCTATGCAAACGAATCGCTTGTCAAATTGCAGGTTTCAATTGCAATATAAATGAGATAAGATAAACCAGTTAGCAACAGGTGCAGTCTAGTCTGGATCCTTTACTTACAGTTCCTTCCAGCATTTTCAATAATGCCTGCTGAACACCCTCTCCAGAAACATCCCGGCTGATATTTAAGCTCTCAGCCTGTAAAACATACCATAACATTTAAAATATATAGTGGATAAGAAATTATGAACTTATCCAATTAAATTGGCAAAGAAACCTTCTTAGTTATCTTGTCAACTTCATCAATGTAAATTATTCCTTGCTGAGCTGCTGCAACATTGAAATCTGCAGCCTGTATGGCAAAAATAACCAGTATAGCAATGAGAGGAAAGGAAGGTACCAATACAGAAAAGATGAAAGAAAAATTCTTGCACAGAAAACCCGTAGATGAAGACACTTAAAATATTGCAACCCTTCCTCACATGCATCCATATATACTTGTTTAAATAACTTTGTAACTGTTTTCTATAATTGTATTCTGCGTTTACATGAAATTAGTGTGGCTCTAAAAAAATGTTATAACAAAATAAAGGTAGCATATGAAAGGCTTTACTTATTTATTTAAATATTTATACTTTTAAGCTTAAATTAATTTTTTTAAGAAATGACTAATTCTAGGTCTGTATCCATATTTTCATGTAGCAAGTTTTTTTATTTTATTAGTTGTTATTATTATTATTATTATTAGAAGAACATGCTAAACTTATTCATTTTAGTGTCTTGTTCTTGTCATTGTAACTTAAAATGAAGAAACAAATAGACATTGATAATGGTAGGAGCGGGAAGATATTGACAAAATAATGAGGGAGCAAGCTATTTTATTCCCATCCCATCTCCAGCTAATATAAATTGTTAAGGAAATTGGGTCGACCGTTATCATTTCCAATTAAGTTTCTAAGGCAAGGAAGTTTCCTTGAATGTAACAAACTCTGTTCTAAGAAATTCCATGGATTGTCAACTGAATACTACAAGAAACCATAACAAAAAGAAAAGAATTGCTAGGATATTGAAAATTGATCAACAGGGTCATTTCTAGAAGAGAAGGAAAATAATTTATTCAAACATCATAGTTCTGCAGAACAGTACACATACCGCAAGTAGTTTATATAGGATCGATTCGACATCTTCTCCAACATAACCAGCCTACATATTAGAATCCTCTTTTAGGTCAATAACAATAAAGTTTAGTCATTTGGGATAAATTTCAAATCTTTTAGCATAGAAAATTGGATAAATCAGTATCATTTAACTTGTTTATACTGTACTCTTTGTTTTTCGAATTTGACATTGTCTCATCAATGAATTCATACTTGCCTGTGTTAAGGTTGTTGCATCAGCAATGACAAACGGCACATTCACAAATCGAGCCAGTGTTTTTGCAAGTAATGTCTTCCCTATTTGGTGAAATTTAGATTAGCACAGCACGTGTGTTGTGATTTCAGATACTGATATGAAAAGTGCAAGCAATGTGGATGCAACTAATTCTCATTTTATAGAAAAAAGGGGAAAATATTAATGAATATCATACCTGACCCTGTTGGGCCCATCAAGAGAACATTACTCTTTTCTAGCTCCACATTTTCGTCATCATCTACTACTTCTGAAGCTTCTGAATCTGCGCCTGACCTAGTATTGAAATCCACCAATTCAATCATATGAAATAGATAATGTGAAAGAACAAACTATGAGTTTGACAGTTGGTAAATTCCTCATATATTTATCATTACATATGGATTGGTTTATACATGAAGAAACCTGTATAAATAAAGGGAAATAAGCAATCAGAAGCATCAGTTGTAATTCCACTAAGGGACAGTAAAAGAACTAACCCTTTTGGTATAGTAGCATGGTATATTCTTTTATAGTGGTTATAAACAGCTACAGAAAGGACCTTCAACAGAAACAAAAACCATTAATGAGGTATAGTCAAAGGCCAAAAACTACAAAAATGCATTTTAGTGCACTCGACACGTAAGATAACACCATAACATTTAATCTTTAGTTTTGAAGATACATGAAAAAAAATTAGAGTAATTAAAACTATGAAAATGGATCTAGATTAAGTACATGCAATTATATGTAAATAATTCTGTTCATTCACTCCTCATTTTGCTTTCCAGATGAACCACAAAGGGATCCTTGACACATAATTGCACATCAGCAAATGTAATAAATCATAACAAACAAAAACCGGATTAAACATTGGCATCAGTACAAATCTCAGGAAAACAGGATACCTTCTTGGCTCTCTCCTGGCCAATAACAAACTTGTCGAGACCTTTGCAGATCTCCTTCGGTGAGGGCAAATCATTCCCCAAATTAGACCCTCCCCACGTGGTCTTCTCTCCATTTCCCCCACCTGCACCACCTGAACCGCCATCCCGTGGCCCTGAAGCCCGGATAACATTAATCCCCGGCGCAAAAGGTGGTCCCGGTGGAGTATGCACAGCCAAACCATTCCCATTATTATTACCACCTGGTGATGGAGGCCATGACTCAGGTGGCTCCCCATTATTACCATTACCACTAGCACCACCATTGTAAGACATCAACGTCTCCCACAATGAAACTTCAAGCCATTTACTTGCATCACTCTTATTACCAAATTCCTCTCCCACATTACTATTCTTACTACTACTATTACCACCACCCTCTTTGCCACCACCTTTCCCATGCGTGATCCTCCTAGGAGACTGAGACTTACCATTAACACTACTAATAACATTATTATTATTGTTATTATTGTTAGTAGTTACTCTACCAATCTCCACAAAGGTACCTTGCAAAGGTGCAGTGTCATAAGGCCTAAAATAATAAGCAGTTTTGCAACTTGGACAAAGGTTAACCGCTTGGTAACCCTTTTCACCACCTGAACCCAAATCAGGAGAAACATCATTTGTGGTTGGAAAGTGGCGATTGGAGAAAACAATGTTCATGTCTTTGGTACAACGTGGGCAATTAGCCTCTGCCCGAATCTTCCGGGTCAGATTGTCATCTGACCCGCCACGGTCCCACTTGTACCGTTCCTGAACCCCCACCAGCGCCTCACGGCGGCGATGGGCGGCGCCACCGGCGACCATCTGGTTCAAGTGGGTCGAGATTGGGCATGCCCGATTGAGCCGGGAACTGAACCCGGTTCGATTCCCACGCGTGACAGGCGCGTGGGACCCCGCAAGTGACGCTTTCTTCCATCTAGAGAAGATTCGAGACATGGGTAATGAGAATTTCGATCAAAAAAACCAAAAAATGGGAAATTTGGGGTTCAGTGAACCGAAAAGGGGTTGGGTTAATGCTTGGAATTTGGATGACCCAATTGAGAATTGAGCGACGAATGGTGAAAAAGATAAGAACTTTGGATCTGTATGCGTGATTTGGGAAGTGGGTATGCGTGAATTTATGTGAGGTAGAAGAAAGAGAAAAGAGAGAGAAAATAAAGGGAAAAATGGATTGGAGGGGAGAGGATTGAGCAATAAGATAAAGTTAAGGAGTGTTTATAGGTGAAGCAAAATAAAAAAGGAAAGCTGCCAAACTCAACACAAAGAACATAACACAAACACTTGTCTCTTTCTCTCTCTCTCTCTAATTTGATGGTGTGTATGTAGTGGATGATGATGGTGCTTAAAATGTGATGCAGTTAAGAAATTAGTGTACTATGTGATTTGGATTTTCTATTTTTGACATTTTGACCATTTGGATGAATTATCCATTTTTTTAAGTCACATTACACATCTCACACAATTATCTTCTGTATGTATGCATGTATCTACGCTTCTCTTGTATTTGCAGCCATTAGCTACATTTCTGGTTTCTAAATTTGATCCTTAAAAACTATATAGCAGCAAACCACCAATGGCGTTTACCATGGTCAAAGGTTGCATAGAAATTTGTCAATCTTCTCCTCAACGTTCATTTTCAGTGGCCATTTATTTATTGCTGTTGATTGCAATCGTATGATACCCCTTAATCAATTTTATCACGTCATTTTAATTGTTTGGAGAAGAAAAATGTTATTGCAAGCGAATGATTATTATATTTTTATAATTTTAATGTAATAAATGTATTGTTGTGGTTTATTGCAAGCGAATGATACTCATTAATCGAAGTTTTAAATTTATCAGCCCATTTTAATTGTTTTAGAGGAAAAAAATAAAAATAATATTAACTTTAATTCTTAAAATTGAGTTTAAAAAAATTAAAAATAGTAAAATTTTATCTAAGAAAAAGTATTTATTTCAGTTTTACAACCTTAATGTAATAAATACATTTTTTAAAATAAAAAATTACTACATTTGAACGTTTAAATTTAGTAATTCTTATTTTAATAAATATTTCAATAAAAATATTCAAATTATTATAATATTTTTAATTTTCATGAGTAAGTTTTAGTGCACGGAATGTCGAAATATTACCAAAATAATTACAGCTACTCCTAATTAAACAATTTTAAATACACACCTAAGAATCAAAGTCTTGGCAAATTTATTATAATATTGTAAATTAAAAAATAATTTATTATTTTATAGCAAATCTGAAACAATTTATTAATTTGGAGTTTTTTTGTCACGTGTATCAATTTTTCGCCATAACAGCTGCTGGCGAAAGTAATTAATTTTTTGAATTTTTTAATATCTATTTCGCTACAAAAAGTATGAAATATGACTTCTTAGAGCGGTTACTTTAAAACCGCTCTCATAACTCTATTTTAGAAAGCGGTTCCTTATGAACCGCTCTCAGTAGTAATTTTAGAGAGCAGTTCATATGAACCGCTCTGAAATTTCAATATTAGAGAGCGTTTCCATTTGAACTGCTCTCAAAAGTCATATTACTGAGCGGTTCCATAACCTTTAATAAACTTTCAGCAAATTCTTCACTCACCCCCACTTAATTACCAAATCACCTGCATACATAGAGTTTAAAAAAATTACAATATTATTATCAGATTTTCCAATTAACAAAATCAAACTAAAAATAATATATAAATGCATATTATAGTTCCATACCTCTTAAATTCGTAACAGTATTTGATCCTTCACAGCAAATCAAAACAAATTTTGAAACTTCTGCCTAGAGGACGATGATGGAGGAGCAGAGACGGAGAAAAGCAAAATGGAAACAAAGGAGGACCGTCACAGAGGAGGAAGAAGGACGTCGGTCAAAGTTACTGAACATTTGGCCACATGTCAATGCCTGAACGGTTTCGCTAACTACAGGGCGAAATAAACTTTCGCCAGTAGCAGCGCGATTTATCTCAAATGTTGCCACGTGTATCAAAATCTCCCCAGCCGTCCATTTTAAATCTAAGAGAGCGGTTCCGGCAGGACTGCTCTCTAATATGTACTTCTAAGAGCGGTTCATATGGAACCGCTCACTAACATGACTTTTGAGAGCGGTTCAAATGGAACCGCTCTCTAATATTGAAATTTCAGAGTGGTTCATATGAATCGCTCTCTAAAATTACTACTGAGAGCTGTTCTTAAGGAACTGCTCTCTAAAATAGAGTTATGTTAAAGTAACCGCTCTAAGAAGTCATATTTCGTACTGTAGCGAAATAGATATTAAAAAATTCAAAAATTAATTACTTTCGCTAGCCGTTATGGCAAAAAATTGATCCACGTGGCAAAAAAACCCCAAATTGAGAAATTGTTTCAGATTTGCTATAAAATAATAAATTATTTTTTAATTTACAATATTATAATAAATTTGCCCAAAGTCTTGCTATCTACAAAGTTTATTGATTTTTTCCATGTGTAATTATTTGATCGATTTATCTTAACTAATGTTTGTCAAAAATAATTTGAATAAGATATTTTTACTTTAATGTAAATACACAAGTTATCACTCTTTTCATAAACATTGACATTTATTTATTTGTTTAATAATAAAAATTATAGTAATACAAATTATTTTAAAATAATATTATTTCAATTATTAATTTTTAAAAGCTTGTTTGTTTACAATTTTTAAAAATTTATCTTTTTAAAAGACAAAAAAAAAAGAAGTAAAGTTATTATTTGTAAATTGTATTTATTAAGACTCTAATTATTATTATGTATTTATTTTAATTTAGATGATATTGTTTTTAAGATAAAGAAAGTTCATAAATCTTAGATTAAAAGATCTATCACTTATGTGCGTCCAAAGTATGCAAGTATGAAAATATTTATGGGATGGTCATGATCACTTGACACGTAAGACTAAAAAAAATTTATTTATATTTGTTTTGAAAGTATTTTAGAAGAAAATCATTTAATGTTCAACAACGAAATCATTAATTTCAACTGTATTATGCTAGTCAAGTAATTTAAAGAGAAATTATACAATTAGATATTATTTTAACTAATTCATTGATAGGAGAATTTCGTACCAATATATTAATTAGAGATGAATTTGATGTCTTTATTGTGCGTAAAAGATTAAATTATTAATTTGACTTCTTTGTTTTGATGTCATTCCCATAAATTAATTAATATATTATAGGAACTTTGCGTCTTTACTCATTTGCTCGTGATATTACACTTACATTGAAAACACTCTTCATTGTATTAGAAATTGTTCGTTAGGTGAGTAGCTAAGATAATATGAGTTTGTGCAAATCTATGAAATGAAAGATTTATAACTTTTTTTATGCCAATAATTAAATTATGACTTAACATAAAAGTAATCCTCCCTTATTTTTCGTTTATTGTGATGGATATGAAGGGCTATAAATGCTAATCGCATCCTTGAAAAAAGATTCTAATTAATAAAACTATGTTTAATGTTATAAACTTTATTAACTAGTTTTATTTATATAAATAAATATTACCCTTGCCTAGGGCGCTAAGTTTTTTAGAAGGTTGATTATAATTTTGAATTCATTCATCTTTAATGTTGGCTAGAGTGTTTGGGAGAGTTCAAGAAGAGCTTATCTCGATAATCCTATTGAAAATAATAATAAAAATTGACTTAGAGAAACTCATGAATTTATTGACATTTTTAATAATATTCATAATAAGCTTAACCATGTTTCATGAGTTGAAAATAACTTAAAATCTAAATATCATATATTTCTTATTACTCTAACATGAAAAAAAATCATAAATTTTATGATAATTTTTTTTTTTTTTTGTAAAAATGCTAATTTTATTTGAAATATAAAAATGTTACTGAAAAAATTAACAAATCACTATTAAACACATTTTATTTAAAGATAATATAATTTTTTTAACTAAATTTAAAAATTATGTATATTTATAGTTTCAAATATTAAATCACATATATAAAGACTCGTCGTTCAAGTTAATACTAGAAATGTAGTTTAATTTTTAACTCTTTTAAATTTAAATATTTAAAATATTTATTATTTAAAAATACTTTAAAAAATATTTTGATTTAAGAATTAATTCTCACAAATCTTACATAATTAAAATGATATATCTTAGTTATGATAATTATTTTTTATTTTTATTTATAAATTTCATTTAAATTTTAGAATAGAAATTTTGGTAATTCTCACACATTCTCAATAAAAAAAATATCAACAAGATTATTTTTTTAAATAATATCATTTAAAAAATATTCATGTCATAGCTTAAATATTTTTTAAAAATAACCTTAATGTTTTAAATAACTGACCAATCTGGTGTTCCAAAGTTTCTAACTCTGTTCACAATAACCCCAAACTGCTGTCTCGTGCGTTTTTGCTTTGGGTATAAGAAAATCGAAGAACCCTAATACTGTCTGAACTCCAAAGTCAGCACTTTCTTCCTTTGAGTAGCGATTCTCATTCAACTTGCAGCAAAAATGGCGGAGGAGAAGGTTGAGTTGAGGATCTACAATTCAATGACTCAGCAGAAAGAGATTTTCAAACCCAAAGTTCCAGGCAAGGTTTCCATGTACGTTTGTGGTGTCACCGCCTACGATTATAGCCATCTAGGTCACGCTCGCGCCGCTGTTTCTTTCGATATTCTCTTCAGGTATCATCAATGTTTTTCCATTTTCAATGATTTTTTTAGGTTTATTTAATTTCAGATGTATTACATTATCTGAGAATATTTGAAGCTTGAATTAAGGTTTTACTTAATTTAGATGCGAGGAGTGAGGGTTAATGTGTGAAATTTTGTAGGTACCTTAAACACTTGGGGTATGAGGTGACTTATGTGCGCAATTTCACTGATGTTGATGACAAGGTAAGTATAAATACGATTTTCATCTTTCCTCAATTTGTGTGATTTTAGTTCGTTAGTTTTTCTGAATTTATGTTGCTTTGAACATGTAGATGATGTGGGATTAGAATGTGAAGTTATAATGATATGTATTAGCTATATGATAAATTAAAGCATCTTAATTTAATAGGCCATATGTCGTAGTGGTGTTTTGAAGTTGAGTAAAATGGAAATGGAGATGGCCACATGGGTTGAATGTTTTGAATATCTGTCAATTATATTATGGTAGTCCATATTTACATGTTTATGAATATATTGCCACTTTTGTGTTATTCTCTGTTATGGACCACTGTATGAAACTATCACAGTTCCCTGTTTGTAAATGTTATAAATTTTTCGGATGATCTTTCCTTCTCATGGAGGAAAATAACATTTTGAATTTGATCTTACTGATTCTATGGTTATTGTGTTAACAAGTCATGCTTTATTGAACGTTTCTTCAATTTATCCCATACGCTATGCCTGTCAATTGTCAAAGATTCAAAATATGAAATCTATAATTTGATTGGCTCATATGTTACTCAATCCTTTTCCCAGTGACTAATTGACTATAGGATTTGTTGGTCAAAGTTATTGACATTTCTGTTGGAGGATTTAGTTTTGTAGGTTTTTCAATTGCTAAAAACCATTTTTCTTAACTAAAATTTGCTTTATGTGGTTTTAACTTTTAAAGTAAGCCATTCAGCATTGTGAATTTGTGAAATATGTGCTATACGATTCTAGATAGGGGCATTATTCTTTGTGATAATTGCTTGAATGTCAATCTTCAAGCTGATGACTTCTTTCATCTTGAATTGCCAGTATTTCATTATTTTTTTTGTTGTTTCTGCACTTATGCTTCACTTTTTGTCCTTTTGAATTTGAATGATGAGCCTATTTTTGGTGAAGCTGGTACTCCTGCTTGATACATGAGAACTCTCACTTATTGGTAGAAGTTTTACCGAGTTCCTTTGTCCTAGAAAACTTGGACCTTGAACTTGTATTATTTTACAAATATCTTGTATGGCTCTTTAATGCTTAATTCAGACTGCTAATACCAGCATTGCTGCAGATAATCAAGCGATCAAATGAGATTGGTGAGGATCCTTTGATGTTAAGCAACCGTTTTTGTGATGAATATAATGTTGATATGTCTAATCTTCAGTGTGAGAAACCATCTGGGGAGCCCCGTGTTTCAGAACACATTGGCGAGATAAAGGACATGATAACCCAGGTTTTAATTTGCCACTATGATTACTATCATTTGCTTTTGTTTGAATTAAAAATATTCCCTTTTGCATCAATTTTATGCCAATGGATATTGGATTTCCAATACTTCGATGGTTTACATGCTTGTTTACATCACTTTTTTTTTCTTCATAAGTACATTTGGAATTTGTATATTGTTCAACTCCTCTGGCAGATATCCTTTTCTATAAGATGATCTGTATACTCTATGCTATCTTGTGTAATTTAATAAAAAAAATATATACTCTCTAACTGCTCATTGTTGAATAAATAGAGATAACAACCCCCCCGCCCCCAAAAAAAAAATAAAATTGAACCTTTTGTTTTAAATTAAATAATAAGTTGTAAGTTGCTGTCTCTCAATCTTCCAGCAGTGTATATGCCATTATTATATTTTAGCGCTCTAACATGTGAATAAAAAATTCAAATTGATGAGGAACGAAAAGAACAAAGCAAAAGAAAACAGGCTGTGTTTTATTTTCTATATGTTAGAGAGGTATGAAGCTACCTGAAATCTCCTGGTGAAACATGAATGAGGTTGTGGATAATGATAAACTTAGCTTTCTAATGTAGAAGATTCATATTTTTTAGGAAGTATATTTCGTTGATGTTGCATGTCATTTTCTTTAATATGCATGGCATTGAAACATGGGAAATGGCATTAACTTAGATTTAGTTGTGGTATGTTTTCCTTTAGTTCTAAGGAATCAATTAATAATTCTAAAGGAGGTCAGTTATTAATGTACTATGCAGATTATCAACAATGGTTATGCATATGAAGTTGATGGTGATGTTTTTTATGCTGTTGAGAAATTCCCAAGTTATGGCATGCTGTCTGGACAAAAGCTGGAACATAACAGAGCAGGGGAACGAGTTGCTGTTGACTCCAGAAAGCGTCACCCAGCTGATTTTGCATTATGGAAGGTACAAGAAATTTCACCAGGTGTTTTGATATGTTTTTGGTTTCATTTTGGAATCTCTTATATTGCTTGACAATAATTTCAGGCTGCTAAGCCAGGTGAGCCTAGCTGGGACAGCCCTTGGGGTCCTGGAAGGCCTGGGTGGCACATTGAATGCAGTGCAATGAGTGCTTGTTATTTAACTCATAAATTTGATATTCATGGTGGTGGAATTGATTTAATCTTTCCTCATCATGAGAATGAGATCGCACAGAGCTGGGCTGCTGACAAAGAGAGCAATGTCAGCTATTGGATGCACAATGGGCATGTCACTAACAATAATGAGAAGATGTCAAAATCCTTAGGCAATTTTTTCACTATTCGGCAGGTTATCCCTTGGGCAACTTTTTCACTATACTTCTGTTTAGAGACCTTTTTTTGTTCCTTGTTCAATATTTGTAGAATATATAGTGTTTAAGTCTTTTACAAGATATTTTGTGTTTATCTTTTATACAATTCTGTTTCTCTTGCAGATAATTGAGCGTTACCATCCACTTGCTTTGAGACACTTTTTAATTACTGCCCATTACAGATCTCCTCTAAATTACACAGTCTTACAGCTGGAGAAATCATCTGATGCTATTTATTACATATTTGAGGTAAGAAGCCACTAAATAATCTATACAGGAAACTCTGCACCATTGCTTAGTTATTGACGGGCAAGTTAATCTCTCAAGGTTGGCAGTTTTGTCATTATGTAATGTTAAATTAATTTGTTTTGATTTGTGTGTTAAAAAGTAGGGAAGGGAATGGTTTGAGAATTCAATGAGTTGAGATATTAATTAGAAACAGATAGAGAAGTTAGTTAGAGGGGATATCAATTAGATAGGAAAAGAGGAATAATAAGAGAAAAGGGTTCATAAATTTAGATAGTTATTATTGAAAGCAAGATACGTGAGCACAGTATTAAGAGGATTTATTGTTGCTACTATTTTAACTAAAATTGTTTAATACAAATTCCTGTTACTATTTTGTGATGTCCTGAACTTTGAGAAAGATTTTGTTCTTTTGGTTGTTAGACTCTTGAACGTAGTAAAGAGGCTTTATCATCAATTCTACAAGGGGACACTGAGAAGAATGAAAAAATGCCTCAAATTAATGAGGCTGCCAAGGAGTGTATTAAGAATTTGAATGTTGAGTTTCAAACAAAAATGTCGGATGACTTGCAGACCTCAGTAATACTAAATGGTGCTCTCCTAGAGGCATTGAAATTTGTGAACAGATCTTTGAAAATGCTGAAGGTATGCTTTTGGAACCAGTTTCTTGTATTGTTTGCCTGGATCCCACATGCATTTTTGTGAGTTTGAAATGCATCAGTAATTTATGAAATTTATTTTGTGTATCTTCCAGAAGAAGATGCAAAAAAGGGCACTATTGCAACTGGTTCAATCCCTATTGGAAGTTGAGAAAGAAGTGAGAAAAGTTTTGAATGTGCTAGGATTATTGTCTTCTCAATCCTATGCTGAGGTGACACCTATTCAAATGAGCTTACTTTTCTGTTGAGTACAATCTAAAAGTGATGACTATTCTATTGCAAAATGATTGCTTCGCTAAATAAAGATTATTGTTATTTGTTTGTCAGGTTCTGCAGCAGTTAAAAGACAAGGCATTGAAGAGAGCAGGTCTGACAGAAGATGAAGTTCTACATCTAAAAGAAGAAAGAACTCAAGCTAGGAAAAATAAGGATTTTCCCAAGAGTGACAAGATTAGAGATGATTTGAAAGCAAAGGGCATTCAACTTCAGGATGATGGTGACGAAACAATTTGGACACCATGCATCCCAACCCCAAGTGAAGCACTTGTTGCAGAAGTTGTTCAGACAGATCCCAGTGCACCTACAGTTAAGGAAGAACAGTCAACACCTCCAGTGAATCAAAAAGTGGAGGAAATACCTATCAATCAAGAAGGGAATGGGCCACATACATCTACATGACGGTGGGATTAATGTCCCTCCATAGGATACGATTAATACAGAACTAAGTTATTATTTATTAATACCCATGATTATTCAAGATTGTATATCAATTCAAGGTTTTGGCCAAGTGTTTTGGTTCCTCTTCCTGTCTCTAGATTAGTTTAGCTGGCCTTGACAATTACATGAACAGAACCTCAAAATTGAGAAATTTTTCACTGCTACACGGTAGCATGCTGTGATTTTAGTATCTGATAATTTTCCAATTAAACTTCACATAAATTGCCTTCATTTCTGCTTATTGTCATTAAAGGTTGCTTATATTTTCAAATATCTTAGTCAGTCTGGTGCACAGAAATGTAGGCACAGAACTTCCGTGGTGAAACTTAGTTTGGCCAAATTGTTTTCTTGACATTGACAAATTGGTTCACAAAGTGGGTCCTTCCTTAATAAAATGGGGTACATTTTGAGTAGTTATGCAAAGGTTAGGTTCAATTTTCTTCATAAAGAATGGTCAAGGCTGCATCATGAGAATCTGTCACGTGCGTGTTTAGATTTGTCTGGGCAAATCACACTGTCCGCACATGTTTTGGGTAAAGCCGTAAAAGCTTATCTTGTTGCTTGTGCTTGCAGATCTCGTCGATAAACGTTTTCAAGGAACAATCTTTCTTTGCTTAGTATTGCCTAGAGAGGTTGTCGCCTCAGATCGTCATGCTCTAAGCTTTGTTTTTGGCTGCCAGTGTTGTCTCGATTCTTTTTTATGATAGTATTCGATGGAATTTCTCAAATTGAGAATAGTAGTATTTGCATCATCCAATATTACCACAAAGAACAAAGACACATGCATGGCATAGGGGGTCGAGAATAGCCAATGAGTTTTACTGGCTTTATGTATTTTCCCAAGAGATGCTGGTACAGGAAAAAGGATAAAAGGGTTGGTTACGTATCGCTTTACTCATTCATCTTTTATCTTCTAATAAATGTTATTTTCTGGCAGGTCAGATCTTTCGAAGCACAGAATCCAACTATCTTACATGGCTATTGTCTCCCTATCTCTGGAGAAGAACCATATTTGTTTGAGAAAGTACACTTAAAAAAAAGTGTGTTAAAGAATAGGTAGAAAACACTCCTCTATTTGTTTAATTTTTTGCGGGATTTAACTCTTGAAAAATAGGGTTTATTGGAGGAAAAATAAAAAATAATTAGCGACACTTGAAATAAAAAAAGATAATTGATGGTTGAAATCATCATAAATTGTATCATATAAATTAGAAGTTGAAACTTATTTTACTATTTTTCTAAAGCAAACATCGCATTTTTGAGTAGTTAAATTGCAAGGAAGAAAATAGGGTATAATTCGAATAAAGCATTCTAGGTGGAAGTAGATCTGTTGTAAGCATGAATGCAAGCATGCCAAGAAGAAACATGGCTTTCTTTACTCAACAAATTAGGCATGCAATAAATATTCTTTCGAAACCTTGGGCCACTATAAAATATAAACAAAATAGGAACATAGGAAGTGGCTGGGTTTTTTTTTTTTTTCCTTTGAGAAAGTTCTGACTACTTTCGCCAAAAATAATTTGCAGCCTCTATCAATCCGGGATGAACCAACAACTTTTCTTTCACTGCCAACCGGGGCTTATCAGTAGCAACTACAGGTGTCACTGAGGGGTTAAGTTCTATCAAACAAATGGCTCCCATATGCTCTGCAGTCTTCCTGAGACTTGTAATGTAGTGTGAACAAAAAATGAATAAGGTTCTGTTAAGGTAAATTTCTAGATAAGTATTTACAAGAAAAGGAAATTAATATAAAATTGAATACAATATTTTTCTTTTTAACTTATATTAGAGAACTTCTAAAAAACTAGAGAAACATAAATTGATTTTACCTTATTATGAGAGATGTTTGTTTAAACTGAACCTAAATTGTTTCTATTAACAAAAACTATAGAAGACACAAATATCAACAACATAGTTTACCTGCCTCACATCTCAGTCAACAATATCTCTGAGTTCTATAAAAGGTTCCCCAGTTTTAGCATTATATTAGAAATAACCAAACTTTTATCAAGATGAGATAATGAGAAATGGCATACATCAAAGAATGTGATCATATCATGTTCCTTGACAACATGAGAAGATCTAAATCCAATACAGGACACTTTTGAATTTGGATGCTTTTGAGTCCTATCATCTCCATAAATCACCTTAGCATTGAAATATGCTCCTTGAAAATCAAGCAGCATAGTTATCTCTGATTCTCTAATCAAACATTTCACTTGCTTTTTCTAGAATTGTGCGGACAAAGGGCCTCAACTTGGTAATCATATGCACACTTTCCAATTTGAAGAGGTTTACCTTTGGAAACATTCTTAATATTCATCATATATAAGCTCAGAAATGCAGCATAAACAAGAATCCATAAGAAAGCCAGAACCTCAAAGGTGAAATCAACAAAATAGACGATCTACTACACTTTCACATCAGTATGTTCAGACACCAGCAAACTAAGAAAGGAGTTTGACGTCAACATTTCAAAAGATGATTACCATGTTGTCAAATCAGCTTTCTCATGCTTCCAAGTTAAATCTTGAACCTGCTTACAATTCTATTGCTGCAATATCATCATGTCAAATTCTAGTTCTATTTCATTTAGCAAAAAATGCTTGCTTGCAGATTCAATATGAAGAGATTGCAAAACTCACAAAGATGATTTGCCTGAGCAAAGTGAGATCGCTGCTACTGGATGTGTGGAATGCTAATTGGTTCAGTTGCAATCTGCCCTTCTCCAACACAACTTCAAATTGTCACTCTCAAAATCAACTCTAGCATCCATGATTCAATAAATTTTTTCTTTCTTTATCTTTATCTTGATTCATATCTCATTTGTGTAAGTAATCAATAATTTGAATGAGCATTGTACTTGTCAATAATCCCCTTTGATGATATTTTATAATTTTAAATACTTACCTTTATTTCTTGTTGACAGATACATTTGTCCAATGGTAAGATAAAAGATTTCATTCACGGCAATGTGAAGGCAGCAAATTCAAAAGGTACACAAATGTTTTGGTTTGACTTGGGGTTAGAGATTGTTAATCTTGGTTTGGTTTAAAAAGTCGTTATTTTTTATTTACTTTTTTTATACACATACACATCTAAAAAATTATCACTTTTGTCCTTTAATTTTATGACTTTTTTTTTTCAGTTCCCGTTCATAAATATTTCATTTTGGTCTCCAAGTTGTTGAAAAATTTATCACATTAGTATTTTTCAGTTTAATATTAAACAACAAATAAGGTAAAAAAAATGTACAGAGATAATAAATATGAAATAAAAATTTGACATGGATAAGATAAAATTATGAATGTTTATTGTTGAATAATGTAAAATTTAATCATTCAAGTTCAGTCTACATGAACCAAACTGGGGGTAAAACATTTCTTGATCTTGCTTGATGTGAGCCTTGGTATGGTTTTCATTTTCTTTGCCTTGATTGATCTTTACCATTGGTGGAGGAAGCGATGAGTGATTTTTTGGATGGACGATAAAATAATTTTTCACTAATAAATATCTTCACCATTGATTTTGTACATGTTCTTCTTTTTCCTTCACTAGTAAAATTTTTTTCCTTTTCTGTGCAAACATGCAAAATAGTAATGTTTTGGACAAATAATTGTTGTCAAAGAGTCAATTAGCAAAGTTATCACGTAAATGTCATATAATATGATGAGATATAGTCAACCAAAAAAGAAAACCTTTTAAACCAGAAATTCAATTAAAGGATGAAACTAAAAAAAAAAAAAACTAAAATAATACTTAGAGTAAAGGTAGAAAATAAAAGAAAAATAATTATGCTAAATAAATACGTCAATATAGATTCATCCACTTAGGTGTACCAACATAATCTTCATAAACATCTATATATAAACAACTTTCTCTTTTTAATCTTTGGTTAGATATTTCACAAACATAAATGTGAAGCTTGTTTGACCATATTCACTTTGACAAAAAAATAATATTGAATTTTTAAAACTTTACACGTGTGTGAGAAAACAATCAACTTACACAAGTACTTAGTTATTATTATTTTTATACAATTTAATAATTTTTTATTAAACATATTTTTAATTATTTCTTAAATTAAAAAATTTCTATCTTATATTGTATATTATATATGAAAAACTCTTATTGAAAAAAATTACTTGACATCTCATTTATGTACATCAAGTTTTTATCGTATATTGCATATGCATTAAAAATATTTTAAAATAAGAATCTTTTAATTATATTTTTACAATTATTCAATTTTAATGTTAAAATTTAACATAAATAATTAATTTAATATATAATTATAATTTAATAAATAATTAATAAAAAACACATTTTATATAAATTTATTAAAAATATAAAAATTAATATAAATCGCTTAGTATAAATTGATTTTTCATAATAATCGAACTATAATACAAATTTAAGTATTCGTTCTTAAATGTACATTCAATCTATCGTCATTTCACGTTTGTATTTATACATTTTTCAAAGTTTAAAATTTATAATATTTTCAAAATTTTCTTTTACATTAAAAATTTATTTTTTTAAACCTGTAAAATTATTTATATCTAATTCAAATACTCCTTTTCTTATTCAGAATCAATAATAACTTCTAAGGTTTAGTTCAATTTATCAAAAAAAAGATGTGTATAGCTAATTCAAGTAAATTTAAAAAATTAACTTTTATATTATAAATAAAAATTAATAAAAATGAAACGTAAAGTAACTTTCCTTCATAATTTCTTGTGTGTATATTTTATAATTAAAATTAACTAAAAATATATAAATTACATTATTATAATAAATTTTTATTTTACTCTAATTCCGTTCTAAATTTTAGAGATAAAATTGTTATATAATTTTTTTTATTTTATATAAAATTTTATATTTTTTATAAATGTTTATTTTTACATTTATAATATTATCATTTTCTTTTCTATTTTGTAAAATTTAGAGTTTCTTTTTATATTAATAATTTACATTTAATTTATTTTTTTACAATATACGATAAAAATATTATTTTATAATAAATTATATTTTAAAATTATTTAATTTTATTATATTTTTATGATTTTGATATATGCAATTCATATTAATGGAATTAAGTCAAAATAATTATATATATATATATTTATAATTATTTATAAAATATTGTTTTTTTATTTATTACATTATGTATATATTTATTATAAAATAAATACCTATATATTTCACGGAGTAAACTAGTTAATAAATAAAGGTCAAGGTCACAGATGCATCCCTGATATTGAATTATTTTAATAAATGTTAAGAAATAAAGCAATAATGTTACAGTGATATTAGGCTAATATAAATACCCTGAACTAATGCATACGAGTGATGATATTTTTTTTGTCTTAAAATAATAATAATAATAATAATAATTTTCATACCACTATTTTAAGAATGTTAAAATATCTCTGATAAAAAATATTTATTACCATGAGATAATCATAACAAATTATTAGAAGATATATCACATAAATCATGTGACAATGATAGACTGAATTCAAAAGGAACAAGTTTGATATTTTAAAATTTTTACTTAATTAATAAAATTATAAAATAAAATTTATCACAATCACTAAATAAGACAAAAGACATTAATCACACAAAGTTAAATTAAAATTTAACACAATTTAAATAAATAAATATAACCCATTGGTTTGACCAATTATATTATAAAATTGGTTGAGTCATTAATTTGATCAATTTAAAAACTTAATGAGGCAAAAAAATCAATCAATAATTAATCAAAACTAAGGATATAAAATTATTTTGAATTCTTTTAATTTTTTCTAATTTTGTTTGTAAATAAATAAAGGTTCATTTACAACTTTATATTAATTATTATTATTTAGCTATTTATCATGATTTTTTATAAGACATATCATATCATTCTTTTATGATAATTTAAAATATTTAATTAATTTAGTTATCTATTAATCTCCTATTAAATTATAACAATTTTATACAATTATAGTTAAACTAACAGATTATAAATTGGAATTTTTATTATTTTTTATAAAATCATTTACAACAGTAATTATAGTCATAAAGAATAAAATTTAACTGACAGTCCACATAAGGTAGTATATTATCAACTTTTAAATGTTTAATTCATGTAAATGTATTGTTTTCATTTATATAACTACTAACATTAAATCGTAGCTAAATTTTTCTTTGGCATGTGATATTTTCAATTGCAACAAGTACAGAAAATCACAAAGCTCATACCATGGACCCAAACCATTTTCAGCCCTAACCATTACTTCTTATACTGATAAATTGTGATTGATGTGACATTACTTCTTAAATTATTTAATTTTTAAACTTTGAAGAGCATTTATGCTTCAAACAATAGTAAACTTTGATACCATATGTGATCTTGATTTAATACAATTCAATACAACATTTTACTTCTAGGCTTTGTTTGGTTGTGACATAAAAAACAAGAAGATAACAAGACCCAAATTGATCTCATAATGATTTAAAAATAAATAGATGAATTTCATTGTTCAAGTTTATTTAACCTCATCTGTTTATCTAAATTTTACAAAATATGTACTACAAATAGTCCACAAAAAATTCAATAGAAAATATACAAAAAGGGAGCCTTTAAAATAACATGAAATTAGCTCTAAAATTTCATAAATTTCCCAATTAACTATATATCAGTACACCTAAATTTCATAACATTCCTTCGAAGCAAAGAAGGTTATTAGAGGAGTGTCCCTAAAATAACATGAAATATCACTTTGGGCATTGATCGATTAGTAAAATGTTATTTTAATTTAACATATGAATTTAAGATTAAATTCACCAAATATATCTATATCAAGTATTTTATAAAAATAATTTACGTAGCTTTACTATAGAATTATTTAAAAAATTATACGTGATTTAAAAAAAACATTAAATTGACTAATAAATTTGATAGCTTGTAAATTTAATTCTATACATGCACATCTAAAATTTCATTACATATTCGTTAAAATCACAGCACAATCCAATAAAAATGATAAAAAGGCTTTCCTCGTATAAGAACAGATTAATCTTAAAACTTCACAATTAGTAATTAATCACATATATGTTATATATATATATATATAATTATTCTTTTATAAGGATAAATTATAACTCGTTAAATATAAATAAAATAAAATATTTAAATTAAGTATAATAATTTTTAAATTTGTATCAATATTGAAAGATCTTATCTTTTTATTTATATATATATAAATAAAAAGTAAATTTAATAATGTAACAAGAATAAAAATATTTTATTATATTATTAAATAAAAATTTTTATATTATCAATTAATTAAAATATAATGTGATCTAATTATTACACTAATTACTATTAAATTAATAATTTTTACTAATACAGTACACCAAAAGTGTATTTAAATTCAATTTATTTTCTTTAATATAAATTTAAAATTATTTTATTCTCTGAAAGCTGGTGTCCTAAACGCAAGACAAGATAACATGAAATGAAATTACCCCTAATACTACAAAGTAAACATTATAAATTAAAAAAAAGTAAACATTATAAAAAGCCATAAAATTCCATATAAAAAAGAAAAGAAAAAAGAAAAAGAAAAAAAGAACTTGTGAAGAGAGGTCCTTCCCTGAAGTGTGTGACCCTGAACATGAGAAGCTGAAAAAGCATAAGCAATCGCCAACGAAGCAAAGGAGAAGAATAGAAGGAACAGAACAAGTCCTTACCTAATTTCCAATACGCACTCATCAAAATCGTTTCTTCTTCTCCTCCAACGATCTTCATTTCTCTTATCGTAAGTCATCACTTTTCTTCTTCACTTCAAGAATAAAATAATTTTTGTTATGTGTTTTCTTAACCCTTTCAACTCAATCTCCCTTATTCTCACACTTTTCAATCTAAAGTCGTTAGCTGCAACTAATTTTCGGGTTACCCTTCTTTTTTATTTTTCTTCATTTTTGTTTTTCCTTTTTTTAATGTTAATTTTAGGGTTTCGTTGCTCGCTGTCAGAATCTCGCCGGCGCCGCCGTCATTGCCGCCGGCGATTGCCATGGACTTTCTCTGATTGCCAGAAGATTCGGTGTCGTCGAGTTTTGGGTTATTCATTGCTTGGTAAATTGGGATTCTGCTTATTATTGCTTACTTCAAATGAGTAAATTCGATTTTCATTTTCAGTCATGAACTTGTGCCTTTTCAATTGGGATGAAGTATAATAGATTTGTTGATGAATTTTTTTTTTTTTTTTTTTTTTTTTGTGATTTTGTTTCCTTTTTCATTTGGTATCAATTGTTATTGTTATTCCTTTATGTGTTGATTCCATTTACATTTGATGTGCTAACATAAGAATACAACACAGTGTTTTTTAAAATCGACAGAACCCTATTTTACGGTTTCATTGGTTTAGTTGGTTAAATTGATGGTAAGGAATAATAGGAGTGGACCAGAGTCACAGCAGATTCAAGGTCTGATTGGTTGAATTTGCTGGTCTGGTTAGGGGTCTTGAAACATAATGGAATTGGATGAAGCGGCTTCCGTTTCATGGACCAAACACGGCTACTGACATTCTTATGAAAGCCCGAATGCTGCTTTGATAATTTTCTAGAATGATTTAGGGCCAACTCTTTTGAACTGTGTAGCTCTCGTATATTTTGTGATTGCTGACCAATGAATAGGTTTGTCTGCATGCTTGAGTATACTGTAGCATTGCTCAAATAATATTGCCCTTGTATTTTCTACATTTGAATTGATTGAATTTAATTTTCTACGCAAGTTGTTAATTAACAGTCTGGTTGGTTGAGCTGGCCGGTCTAGTTGAGGTTTTAAAAACATGTATATGATGAAATTAAATGAAAAGACTTTCCATTTCTGTGCTGAACACCAAAATACGAAAAAATAATTAATTTCCAACCATTCGATTAATCATTGTCCATGGCCCACTATAGGGTTTGACAGTGGTGGTGCATCATGGGGTGGCTGTCTATCATTACACAAGCAATTTTGTCTTGTGCTTTTTGCTTGCGGCTGTTGCTGCCTTATATCAGCCAAAATTGTGTTAGAAAAGCCTGATTTTGCTTCCTTGTAACAGTGTTGTTTAGGTTTAGGCTGTTCTTTGGGTAGGGATCTTGCCATTATGACCCTCTTTTAGTGCTGGGCCTTGATATTCTCCGTTACTATTTAAATTTTCTTTTTTAAAATTAATAACTTTGGATACTTTTGTTTTTTGAGCTTTTATGTATATGTAGTATAAATTACTTAATATGTATGTCAAACATTAGTGTAGTGGCCATCCTGCTACCTACTATAGTGTATTTGACAGTGTAGTTAGTATATGATGATTTGCAATATGTTAAATGTGATTCGATATGAGTTGCACTCCCAGCAATGCAAATCACTCTTCAAATCAGAACTGGGGTTGAATTGCAATCTATATTGCAGGAATTGCAGTTGACTCATGTGGTACCAACATGAATCCCACAATTCTTTGTACTTGCAGGTTGCACAAGAAAATGGGTTGGGTTGTGTGCAACCTGGTGTGAAAAAACCCTAAAAATTACTTATTTTTTATTATTTGTTTTGCAATTTGGGAGGGAAACAGCCATCTAGTACCCTACATTGATACCCAGACCAAATATTATACAAGAGGAAACCTTATTTTTCAATTTCTCCCCTTCCTACCTCTTACCCCACACACAGCACATGCTGTATGTGCTCTGATTCTCATACTATTTCATTGTTTTTGGCTGGTTGGCTTCTCCCCGCATTCTCCTGCTGATTGCTGACTGTCTCTACCCATATGACACATACTTTGAGCTGCCTTCTTGTTATTGCTCTCTTATTTCTTTTAATTCTTAATTTTGTTTGCTAGTTCTTGCCTTATTCTGGTATTTATGACTTTGTTGCTTTCTTTCTGCTGTGTTGTGCTCTGTGCTGTGTTATTTTGAAGTGTACATGACACTTAGTTAGCTATACAGTGAACTATTTGACTTCAAAATCCTAATATACAGATATTTCTATATGTTAAAATGTTCTTTGATTTATGCATTTTAATTATTGATCATGAATTGTACTTTTATATTACTTTGTTAGCTATATATGTTGTTTTTAATTATTGATCGTGAATCTTACTATTCAAGATATGGTTTGGTTCATGATTCGGAAAATAAGCCTTCCAATTAACAATTTGTGGTTGGGCACTTTGTGCTGCTGTTTTGGTATTGCCAACTTTGATTCAATTCTGATTACACCAAAATTTGTTTCGTTACAGCTGAAATACTTTTATTAGTGGTGTTTGTTAAAATAATTACAATCCTATTGCAGCAGCATGATGCTTGAGTGCTGCTTTGATTGTTTTCTGAAAGTTGTGCAACTCTCTTGTATTCTGTAAATGCTGACCAAATGAGTTGGTGATGTGATTGTAAGCTTCAGCATACTGTAGCATTGCGCAAATAATATCATGCATGTTTTCTATATTTGAATTTGATTGAATTCTAATTGCTATATGAGTTGTTAATTATTAACTAAAACTTGCTTTGTCTTTATAGGGTTTGATCGCCATGGACAAATTGCTTTTCAAAGCAGTATGGGAACTCAGACTATGTAGAAATGTTAAAGAACAAAAATATTTCTAGATGGAGAAATGTTGATATTATATTGCAAAAAATTATTGAGAAAGTAGACGAGCATTGAGAAGGCAGGTGACAGAAATGGAGTGCAATAAAGATGAGGCCACCAGGGCTAGAGAAATCGCTGAGAGGAAGTTTGCTGCGAAGGATACTTCGGGTGCAAAGAAGTTTGCTTTGAAGGCCCAAAATTTATTTCCTGCTCTTGAGGGTATTTCTCAAATGGTAGCAACTCTTGATGTGTATATTTCTGCAGAGAATAAAATAAATGGAGAAGCAGATTGGTATGGAGTACTTGGTGTGAACCCCCTTGCTGATGATGATACTGTCAGGAAACAGTACAGGAAGCTAGCTCTCATACTTCACCCTGATAAGAACAAGTCCATAGGAGCTGATGGGGCCTTTAAACTCATTTCAGAGGCATGGAGTTTACTATCAGATAAGGCTAAAAGGGCAGCTTATGACGAGAAGAGAAAAGCAAAAGCACGGAAAGTTTCTACTAAGTTTGGAGGTTCAACTAAGTTTGGAGGTTCATCAACACAAACAGGGGTTAATGGTGGTTACAATTTTACTAAGACTACCCCTTCAAGTGCAGGTACTCAGAAGAATGCTGCTAAAGAGCACACTTCATCTTCTGTCTACAAGTCAAAATCAAATACATTTTGGACTGTTTGCCATCGATGCAAAATGCAGTATGAGTATCTCAGAGTTTATCTTAACCTTAAACTCTTATGTCCCAATTGCCATGAAGCATTTTTGGCTGTAGAAACTGCCCCTCCACCTGCAAGTGGTATTAGACCTGCAACTTCATGGAGTTTTTCACAGAATCAGCAAAATTTCAATCGCCAAGTACCTAGTAAAAGCAAATCTAGTGCTGGAAAGAATAACATGGCAGCTCCAAATGTTGGAGCAGGGTCTTATACTAAAACAGACTCCTATAACAAAGGCAGTTTCCAGTGGGCTCCATTCTCAAAAACTTCTGGTGTTTCTAATGTGGCTCAAGCTGCAAGTGTGGTTCAGCAGGCATACGATAAGGTGAAGCGAGATCGTGAGGAGGCACAAGCAGCTAGCAAAAGGGAAGAAGCCTTAAAAAGGAAGCAGCACGTTTCTAAAAAACGTCACTTTAATCATGCAAAGAGAAAAAGAGGGGGAGTGGAGGAAACTGTAAATCGAATGGGTGTGGGAAATGGAGCAGTGGGAACATCAAACTCATCCAGATCTAAACAGGGTAATTTTGTTCATAATAGGGTCAGTGGAATCAATAAGACCAGCAGCGTAAGAGAGGTCTCCCCGGTGGAACTCCAGAATCTTCTTATGGAGAAAGCTAGAAAAGAAATTAGCAATAAACTCAGGGAAATTCCGTCAAATACTGTTGTTAAAACAGTGGTGAGAGAGAGTGGAAATGGCTTTCAAAAAGCTAATGAGAATGGAGAAAAATCAAGAAACTCTGAGATGTGTGTTCAAATTAACATTGAGAAGTCAGAAGATAAAAAGAGCAGATCCCAAGCCGTTAAGTCTTCTGCAGGTTCTACTACTGCTAAAATTGGTCGAAAAATTTTGGAAACAGTGCCTGTAGATGTCCCAGATCCTGATTTCCATGATTTTTACAAGGACCGAACTGAAAGGTCTTTTGGGGAAAATCAAGTATGGGCTGCATATGATGATGATGATGGGATGCCTCGATGTTATGCAATGATTCACAATGTCAGCTCCTTGAATCCGTTCAAGATGCAGATCAGTTGGCTCAATCCAAATACCAACAGTGAACTGGCCCCTCTAAATTGGGTTGCTTCAGGCTTTTCAAAAACTTGTGGGGACTTCAGTATAGGCAGACGTGAAATCTATGGCTCCACCAATTTTTTCTCTCACAAGGTTAAGTGGAGAAAAGGTAACGATGGAACCATTTGTATATATCCTAGGAAAGGGGATGTTTGGGCCATCTATAGGAATTGGTCTCCTGACTGGAATGAGCTAACAGCAGATGAGGTTATACACAAGTTCGACGTGGTTGAAGTACTTGAGGACTTTATTGAAGGACATGGTATAAATGTTATCCCTTTGGTCAAAGTGGCTGGATTCAGGACAGTATTTCACCACCACTTTGATCCAAAAGAAATCAAGATCATTCCGAGGGAAGAGATGTTTCGGTTCTCTCACCAAGTACCTTCACATGTACTTACTGGTCAAGAAGCACCAAATGCTCCAAAGGGTTGCAGGGTGCTGGATCCAGCTGCTACTCCATTTGAACTTCTCCAGGTAATAGAAGTTGTGAAGGAGGAAGACATGACAGATAATGCGGGTAGTGATATAAAAGAAACAAGTGATAACATAGAAAAAGCTAATAGTGAGGAAATGATCAGTGGTGTGGAAAAGGTGGGGGAAGAGGAGGTTAAAAACAAAGATATGCAGGAAATAGAAACTTGGAAAGAGGGCAAAGAGAAAGGTGTGCAGGAAATAGAAACTTTGAAAGAGGACAAAGAGAAAGAAGTTATGCAGTAGCTTGTAGCAGCTAGGGTATGTAGCATGCTAAAGGAAATCAACTTATGGACTCTGGCTTGTGTAAGGAATGGAAATACTAAAGCCAGAATTAATTTGACAAAATAGGATCCAGAATGAGTTGACATTTTTATCAATTATTGGATGGATAAGTTCCATTCATTTTGTCAAATTTTTTCTTGCTATGTAGTATTACTGTTAAAATTGTGGGGGGATTTCATTTCAGTCCTAACATTGCAATTGCTGTCTTCAGCAGTTGAAGTTGAATGGTTCAGCTCCTAGTCATACCAAACAAAGCTGGGTATTGGAATGATTAGGCTGTACCTTCTGCCAATGTTGTTCCATATAACATTTGTCTGAGCTAGACCCACTTTGTGTAAGGCTCTGGCTTAATGCCCTTTCCAATTTACCTTTTAGGGTCTTACTCAATTTTGTTTTGTAAATCAGAATTAGTGGGCATCTTCATCAGTCGCTGTCCATATATTTGTATTGTAAGATAATTTTAGCTCCGTTAAAGATTAATAACAGTACCTTACAAGTTGATTCCAGTTTCGTAAATGTTTGAATCAGGGTGAATTTATTGGATCTTTCTGATTTCTGCCATTTATTTCTCAAGTTAGGATGTTTATTGTATGGTGTGTAGAATATATCTGTTATTATACATGGTGTCAAATGATTTACTGTATGGATATTGTATATGTTCATTTTTATCTCTGATTAACAAATTTAGTTAAAAATTCACTTGTTTATTATTTGTCGTGATTGCATAGCTACCTTCGCTGCATTTTCTCCTCGTTAGCGTTCAATCTTAAGCGTGCTGTGTTTATGTAAGTATTATATCTTAAATGATTTATACACAATCCCTTATGCAGCTTTAAAATTGAGGTAGAATTTTGAGATGAATAGTACTGAGATTTAAGAAGGGCTTGACTGGACTTGTCCATTATCTAACATTTTAATTTGATTTAAATTCATGGTGATCTCCATCCAGTTTAAGAAAAAGGCTTCAACACATTCCTGTTTCTCTATTATTCTTGCAACCCAAAATTCATAGTAAATCAACTTGTTATAATTAAGAAAATATAAGATTACTAAAAATAAAAATACAACTATTAATTTAAGTGACCCTTTAATAATTTTTTTAAAAGTAATTCTTATCGATTTAACTATAAAATTTATAATATTCATAATGACCGCATATAAAGTTTTATATATAATCTATACATTGTATATAATCTAATAATAAAATATTTTTAAGCAATATATTATATATTAAAAATATAATGGAACAGGAAAATATCTTTTAATATTTAAATTATAAACTTTTTTACAAACTTAGTAATTTACTCTGAGAGAAGATTAAATTCAACAATTAAATTAATAAACTTTACTTTTATCATAAAGTTATATGTAAGGTGTCATCATCGTTGCTGTAATGCTTGTGCTACTTGTGTCCTTCCTCGTACTAAACAAATGAAGGAGAAGCTGAACGAACATGTGTTGGCAACACTAAGCAAAAGCAATCACCTGAACCATTTGAAGCAACTACAAGCCTACCTCATAACATTTGGTCACTCCCACACCAACTTCTACGCCTTCAAACTCGTTCGTTTCTGTGCTCTCACTCTCTCCAACCTCGCCTACGCTCGCCTCATCTTCGATCACCTTCACTCTCCCAACATCTATCTCTACACAGCCATCATCACCGCTTATGCTTCTCACCCCAACACTCACCCTTCTGCTTTTGCCCTTTTCCGCCACATGCTCTCTCTTTCTACCCCTCGCCCCAACCACTTCATCTACCCCCATGTCCTCAAAACTTGCTCTGACTCATGTTCCACCGGTTTGGTGCATACCCAGATATTAAAATCCGGTTTTGATCAATACCCTGTTGTGCAAACGGCTCTTGTCGATTCGTACTCGAGGGTTTTTGGTGGTTTGGGAAGTGCAAGGAACGTGTTTGATGAAATGTCTGAGAGAAATGTTGTGTCTTATACTGCTATGGTTTCTGGGTATGTGAGAGTTGGGGATTTTAATAATGCTGTGAGGTTGTTTGATGAAATGCCCGAGAGGGATGTGCCGTCTTGGAATGCTCTCATTGCTGGGTGTACTCAGAATGGGTTTTTCTACGAGGGAATTGGGTTGTTTAGGAAAATGGTTGTTCTTGCTGGGGAGAGAAGGGGTCAGGGTAACAAGCCGAACCAGGTTACTGTGGTTTGCACGCTCTCGGCTTGTGGTCACACAGGTATGCTTCAGCTTGGGAGATGGATACATGGTTATGTTTACAGGACTGGTTTTGTGCTTGACTCGTTTGTGTTGAATGCTCTTGTGGATATGTATGGGAAATGTGGTAACCTTGAGCAGGCAAGGAAGGTTTTTGAGATGAATCCAGAAAAGGGGCTGACTTCGTGGAATTCCATGATTAACTCTTTGGCACTCCATGGGCAGAGTGACAGAGCAATTGCTGTTTTTGGGGAAATGGTGGAGCATGGTGGTAATGTGAGACCGGATGAAGTCACCTTTATTGGTTTGTTAAATGCTTGCACTCATGGTGGATTGGTTGAACAAGGTTATTGCTATTTTGAGATGATGATTCGGGATTATGGAATAGAGCCTCGGATTGAGCACTATGGGTGTTTGATAGATCTTCTCGGTAGAGCAGGAAGATTTGATGAGGCAATGGAAGTTGTCAACGGTATGAGCATGGAGCCAGATGAGGTTGTTTGGGGTTCTTTGCTTAATGGATGTAAGGTTCATGGCCGTACAGATTTGGCAGAATTTGCAGCCAAAAAACTGATTGAAATTGATCCACATAATGGTGGTTATGGTATAATGTTGGCTAATATATATGGGGAGTTAGGGAAGTGGGATGCAGTTCGGAACGTGTGGAGGACCTTGAAGCAGCAAAAGTCTTATAAAATTCCAGGGTGCAGCTGGATTGAGATTGATGACCAGGTTCATCAGTTCTATTCTCTTGATAAATCTAATCCAAAGACTGAAGAGATGTACAGTGTCTTAGAAAGTCTCATTGGTTTTAGAAATGAAGTCATGGTTGAACTGTAGTCCTTGATCTCATAACTTGCTAAATTCACCATGCTATATTTGGAAAGATTAAACAAAGCGAGGAAGAACTTCAGTAAATAAAAACCCAACACTTTATACCAAAGCCAATGCTGAACTTGCTAAAGAACTAAATTCTGGTGTGTTGTCTCACGATCAAGGATTTTCGTGGGACACCTAATTGTTTGAGAGTAATTACTCACTTCTCTTGTTGCAGCTTTGAAGATTTATCAAGAAAAGAGAATTTGAAGGAAACAAAGCAATTCTATTGCAGTTGGTTTTGTGCTTATGAGAGTAATAATGTCTTGATGCGGAATTACTAAAGCATTCCAAATAGAGCCCATGGTTTGGATGTATATTTTATTCATCTTGGTTTGGCCACTGCATCAATCTATTCTTTTTGTCTTCGGAGGACAGAAAAATAATTGGGGATGCTAATTCATTCAAGATTTTGGAGCTTAATCGATTAGTAAATCATATCAACATGCTTTCTGAATCTCGTTAAGTTGCATTGTTTTCCTAGTTTGCTTATGCTACTGGACAGCTTTTGGCAAGGTAAACTGCTCACAGTCGAATCATGTGCCAGCATAACATGCTTCACCTACATCCTACAAAAGGTTCAGAAAGTGTCTATTGTCACTTTCATGTCTCTGTCGTCACTCCTAGTTATTTAATTTTTGTCTAAAATATTTCTACTCTTGATATAGCTATATGAGAGTAAAAATGATAATTAAGTCCTTCTATTGTTAAAATTGTGCACATTTAATCCTCCATTTATTTATTTTTTCTATCTAAAACTCTTAAATTATTGTTTCTTACTCAATCTTTACAAATTGATTTGATTAAATTGTAATCTATTCAAGATTAACCAACCAAAATATCAAAATTTGTCCAAATTTTTTTAAAAAAATTCTTAAAATTGCTCTTCAAACTCTAGTATCATATTTTATAATTTTTTTTTAACTTTATCAATCAATTATTCATTATCTTTTTTCCTTTCTGAACCTGTAGAATTATTTTATTTTCTAACTTCATTACAAATCATCCAAAAATTTAAATGAAAAAAATAAAGAATTGAGAGTTTTGAGAAAAAAAAAATGGATTGGGAATTAAATTTGCACAATTTAAAAAAAAAGGACTTAATTGACCCTAAACAAACTTGAGGAAATATAATTGCACATAAGTAAAACAAAAGAAATTGAAAGAGCAAATAAGCTTATATTTTTTAATATACTCTTAATTATCAGTTAAAATTTATTAAAAAATTTAAAAGTGTGGACTCAATCTAAAATGAATAAGCAATTAAATAGTGTATGAGTGAGTTTGCATATTTAAATTATTAGATATATTTAAAAAAAAATTAATGGTTTAGATATTTTACATTTACTTACTAATTCTATATATATATAATCTTTCGTAAAAATTAACAAAATTGCTTTTTGAACTTTTAAAACTTTACAACCAATTTTTTATCTTTTACATGCAAATCTTATATATATCTCATTATCTTTCAAAAACAACATATATATTTCTCGTTATCTGTTACAGTATTTTTATGAAAATTATTACAAACCTGAAGTTTCTTAAATCATTCTCAGAACCAGAAGCATAATTCAAGGTCTCACAAGATCAATGAACCTTAACAATCAATATTAAAACAATTTAAGGTCCTATTCTCACTGATTAAAAGTTGTTCCTGTTTGACTATGATACTTCCTTTTATTTTTCTCCCTTTCCTTAAAAACAATAAAAGAAATGGAAGCAACAAAATGAATGAATTAAAGAATTAGGATATATTACATGAGAGGGTATTTTTTACGACTGAGAAAAAAAATATACATGAAACAGGATCAGAATATTAATTGAGAGAAAAAAAGTTCAATCACGTACACCAATTTTAGTAGAAATCCAGCTCCAAAATCTGAAAATAACAAGGTCTAAAAAAATATGAATTAAATCAAAATTCTCTTTTATGTAAGCAATGCATTTACGTCTCAACCAAATTGATGATCGATACACAACTGCGTGCATGACAGGGAATCTTACCATTTATATATTAATTTTATTGCCTTTCACCAAACAACAATATTGCTGATAATAGTGTGCAGAGATACTGAAAAATCAACCCATCCATAGAAATAGGTCAACCATACAGGATATCCGTATCACAAGAAATTATATAAGAGATGTTGACAATTTTTCTTGTAAGTGCTGAAGAAACTGTAAAATAATCCTTGCACGTTTGAAATAACCTTTCCCTTACAAGAAAAGAATAATTGAAAGGAAAAAACGAAATAGTTATTCACCAAAATTTCATTTATTCAATTATCATAATTATACAAAAATATATAACTTAAAAATGAAAGATAAAAATTCGTTTATTTATATTAAGCTTTTGCAGAGCTCATTTAAGACTTCCTCGAATTATTTTTCAACAGAAATTTAAAGCTTAAGAATTTTTTCTAGTGGGAGCTTGTCCAAATTGAGTTGACCTTCATATTCAACATTGAAGTAACTAATTTTGGTGCTGTTTTTGTAGGACTTGGACTTGTTTAAGGCAAAAATGAAGGGCTTTGTTTTTCCTTTATATGAATGGAGAAATCAGCCTTTGTTATGCATGAAATCACCCTGCTAACAGCATTTGCTACAACTTTTCTTGCTTTTGTTATTTGATGGATTATAACACACTCTTATATTGGCAGAAGTACTCTTGTACTTTCTATATCAATATATTTGCCTATAAAAAATTGGTGAAAGGGGATTTTAGTAACCATTTTTGTTTCCAGATATCTGTTTTGAACAAATTATTCTAATAATCTTTCTACAATTTAATAAAGTATTAAATGAAAATATTTAATATTTTTTTATTTACTAATTAAAAGAATTTATGGACGTAAAAAGTAATAAAATTTGAAATCATTGTTTCAGATATATTCCTTCGTACAGGCACCTAGCCCAGTAAACCTACCACATATTTCGTGCTAGCAATAGTCATTGTAGAAGGGATTTTACTCGTTTAACTCTAAATTTAAAAAAGAAAAGGAGCAAAATAGAAGAGAAGGGAAGAATTAATATATAATGAACACCAAGTATCACACAAATATAGTATTATTCCACGACGCTTACACTTTGTTGTATATCAAATGCATCAAACGAAGAGGTATTCATTATTGTTTATTACATATATATTCACATATCAAACACTAATTACAATCGTTGGTCGATGGAGGTTATTTCATTCTCATTCACACTACGGACTTAATTCAATTTAACTGATCAGCTTCTACAAACACAACTTTGAAGGGCTCATGTTGATTTGTGAGAATCAAACGTTTTAATTTCCATTCCTCCATTATCAAACAGCCCAATATTCATACAATGGATCCTACAGAACACTAACTTTTATCCCTCTGCCAATTTCTGAATACTAAACCTGCCACTCACTATTTGTTAGACTTGAGAGCCATCAATACCCACATATGATTTTTGGATTTTATCACCCTTAAACACTAACCATCTTAAGGATTCAGTGCACTTAGGTTTGTTATTTGGAAAGAAAATGTTAACTGCGTCCTTTAGAAAGACGAAACCAGGAAGAAAACCACTTATGCCGAATAGTATTGGCTCACCTTTTGCGAAGTCTTCCTGGAGAACAATAACTGGGCATGTTGAGTTCCCAATTAGTTCTTGTCTTTCCACCACCATTTGGGGCTTTGTTAATTGACATCACATACACTAAATCACCTGATGAGAAAGCTAGTGGAAGGTTGGTGATGATGGTGAGAAAACAAAGAGGATGTAAATAGTAGTGTTGGCTTCATGCTCAATTCACTTGATATGGGTGGGTGGGTGTTGTATGTGTATTTTGATGGAGTACCCTTTGCCACCTTCATTAAGAGTAACGAAGAAATAGAAAGAGTGGACCAAGCAAACGATGGTTATTAAAAAATGAGTAATAATAGTAAAATTTTAATAAAAAAATTATATTTATTATACTTTATATATTAAAGTGGACCCTTTAACGTTCAAATTAATAAAATCTTAAAAAATATAGACATGTAAAACTATCGGATAAAACATGAATTATTAGAGTTTGTTTAAGTTATTTGTAGAATAAAATACACTCATTTTAGGTGGATTAATAAGATTAAATATTATACTAAAAATGATATTAATTTTATATCAACAAAATTTTATTAATTTACTTATGATAAAACTCTTTATTTTATTTTATGGAATAACTTAGAAAATAACCTATTGTTATTGAAAAAACATGTATTTTGGAATAGGATAATGATATTCGACTCCTTGTTAGTCTGTGATGTATTATAATATTTGAGACACTAAAATAATGTATGATTCTGTAACGTGCAAGAAAAATGAGAGCTTAAGAAATGTTGAGCGGGATGTGGAGGGAAAGTTAGTTATATCACAAGGCCACGTGGCACATGATCCGCAAGGAAAGGGGCGAAGGAAAAGCATGAGGCGTAAGAGAGAGAATGTATTTCTAAAGGACTACGTGCTCTAGGGGGATTATGCGTGTGGTATGCTTCTCTTTGAAAATTCCTCTGTTCCCTTCTTCCTGACCCATTCTTCTGTTCTTCTCTTCTGAATTCTTCTCTGTTATTGAACCAGGTTACGTACATCAAGTATGGTTGGCAAAGTCATGGCCGATAGTTCCTGTTAATTTCTCATTTCTGATTCTGTATTGACACTTAGTCTATTGGTTTCCTTTATACGATTTACATATTTGTATTCAGGGATCTTAAACTAGTCTTCGCAGAAAAGTTATACAAAATATACTGGTTGTTTGTTGTTTTCAGTAACAATTGTTTCATTGGTGCTTTCATTGACGCCATGGCTGAGAACACACGTTTGAAGGACTTACAGGCTGAGGTACGTGGTCATTCCGAGGAACTTCAAAAATTAATGGATCTCTTGGAACTTCGTGATCGGGAACAACGGGTTCATACTCAACAAGCCCAAGCAGAGGCTCAAGCTCGTATGGATCAGTTCCAGCAATCCTTAGATTTATTGGTCAAATCGCAATCTCATTTCCATAGTGCCTTTTCGGGTGCAAATCAGTTGCATGTTAAGGACATTTCGTTGGGATTTCCACATTTTGATGGACAATCTTCGGTGTT